CTTGGCTTATAATCATTCCTCCGATCTCATTTTCATGAAAACTGAATATTATCACATCGGCTACTTAAACAACAATAGCGCGCCGGGAGGTGCATACTTCACCCCAGCTGGCTTCTTCGTGAAATCGCGCGACTCTGATTATCACTTTGAGGTTTTCAAGCTTTCAGGAAATGGTACGTGCAGCAGCGATCAGATGGCTGAATATGCCAGAAGGTGGAAGGGCTACGTTGTGACCGGCGATGAGAAGGAATACTATTGGGGATTGATTACGGCTGCTCATCCATTTGAATCTTGCCCTTGCTGTTATGATGGGAAGCTGGACTGCGAGTGCAACGGCAAGATGGTGCGATGTGACTATGAGACCGATTCCGGGCGATGTTGGAATGGTCAAGTCCCGCTGAATATACGCGGCACTCAGACGTACACATGTGGACGGTGCAAAAGTTACCCTGGCTGGGTGTGGTGTCGCCACTGTAAAGGCTCAGGTCGGAGACAATGCCGATGGTGTAACGGCTCAGCCAGGGCATCTGAAGAAGTCTGGAAGTCCGAAATGGACGGAAAGCCCTTGTGGTGATGGACCATCGGCCTCAAACCGTATACACCGAGCATGACGGATGGTGATCAATAGGTTGTAAGTGATGGCTCCTCTCGTTGAAGAACGATAACCACATGGCTAGGACTGACATGGTGATCGATAGCTTGTAAGTGACCTCAAAGACTTCTAAATGCTGGGACTTACAATGTACCAGTGAATAAGAAGCATCGATGGAAGCTTTTCATTGGCCGTTGCTCTCAGAGTTACTCGTGACCTATAGTGATAGAACGTTTTTACACTCAGCCTTGATGCAGGTTTTGTCCATGACTTTGGTTTTTTACATCTGAATTCAAAGACTGAAGGTTACGGTAAATCATGCTTCATTTTTGAATATGTATCCCAAGAGTTTATTTGCAGCATTCTTGTTTGCCTGGAACGAAGTCAGGAATGAAGCTATGTTATCTTAAGTCTCACGCGGGAGTCTTTCCATTTTGTCTTAACTTGTTTGAACTTGTTTGAACACAATAGCGTAGTAATGTGCCCCATGAGAATTCTTGAATGCTTATGTCGTTTATGGTCCTTCCTGGATAGTCCCAGTACAGCCGAAGGAGAGGCTTGAACTATAATCCGGCGTCATAAATGTCAAAATACCCAAAGAGCAGCGTATTGGATAAAGTGGAGCGGACCTGTCATCACTGGATGCAGCTTCCATGTCAATGAAACGGGCGTTGTTGAGTGCAAAGGGAATAATGTCTGTGCCCCTATAAACTCTGGCAACCACAAAGTGTTTCAGGACTCAAAGCCCTACGCGGAGCATGTAAGCAAGGTTATGCCGCTGGTAGATGCTGCCGAAGAAGAGCCTTAGTTTTGCAAATCCTTGAGAATATCCTCTATTTTATCACCACCTCGCTTGTCAAGGTACATCTTTCGCGATGATGCCTCCTGAGTACTCGTTTCGCTATATCTGCAAAAGTATGAGATTAAGCACATGCTACCACACCGAAACCTCACTAATTTGATTCTGTGCGAGATCGGCACGGCGATTCCTCGTTACTTTTCTGAATGGCCCTTAATACTAAAGCCGAACTCACCAATGTTCCATCAAGCACTGATCGAATACGACAACAAGAATCCATTCGTGAAAGATATTGTAAACTTCGAAGATATTCCTCTAGATAGTGTCCGTTTCGTTCGTCTTTGAACTTGAGAAGTCGCTCCACACCATACAGTAACATACCAATCGCCGTTGAGACTCTAGTTGGACTTTTGTTATTCCTTCAAACCCTTCCGCAGCAAGATTAGCTAGAACCCGATCATAAAACGCTGTCTCTAGTACCAGTCGGTCTTCTGTGTCTTGCCAACCTCTTGCGGTCATGAACCCGAAAAGGCTGTCCAAAAAATGGAAATTCGAACCAATCGGGAGATAAAGAGCACCATCCCAGTCTAGTACAGCCTGCACCCGACCCGTAGAGTCGTCGATACGGTAATTGAAAGGGGCAAGACCCTAGTGGGTAAGGGCGCCTGGGAGGGTAGTAAGATTGGGTGGCTGTGGTAAGAGCTTGCTAATGCAAGCAAAAATTTTGTTTCTGAGGGTTGCATGTCGATAACTGTAATCATTGATCGTATGTTGGATTCTCTCAACGGTAGAAGTGAGGTCGGATAGAGCAGTGTCAAATATAGCAGTGTTCGTTCTGGCTCCTCTAGTGACGAGGTCTGCAAGGTCCATGACAGTCGCCATCTTCTTCTGAAGAGGCAATTGAAAATCCTCGGAAGACTTCAAAACACTGATATAAGGTGTCCCTTTTGTAAAAGGCGATGTATACACAAAGAGCCCTTCATACATGCCCTGGTATGTTACCAGAGGTACAACAGATCCATGAATGTGGCTGGCTTCGGTGACTCCGGAAAGGTCTTGCTTGTCGCTTCGGAACTGGACGGCAATGCAATGATTTGCTTCCGTGAAATGAGTATGTAATAATAATGGTATAGCTCATATCATACTTCTGTGACGGAAAAACCACAAATGGACCCAGTGATGCCGATAGATCACACAAAGGACATCCACATCTAGAGTATTCTTGATCTTCATTCATCTGGAGATTTTGCGTTCAGCAGGAAAGACGCCATTGAGAAACTGTGCTCCAGTGTTAGCCTAATCCTGCACAGAACAGAAGAGCAGCCGTACGCGTCGCATCTGCTTATGAATATCATCATTAATACTGCGGCGGGCAAATAGTTCGAAGTATTAATATAAGCAGCGCCAGTATTCGTTATATGATTGAGGTGCATTCTCTTGTGAGGTTTTAAACATCCAGTCGAAAAAGTTCATGTAAATCGCTTGATCTTCCAGCAAAAGATAGTTCATGTAGACTAGAGGATGATGGCTAACAGTGCTGGTTGGGTGCAGAATAGGGGGGCAGTACAATGGAGCGGGCAGTCAAGCAGCGGCTCGCCATCCAAAGTTACGGGTGGAAAGAGGTCCCTATATTCTAGTTGTAGGTAAGTGCGGTAAATGTCAGTTACACCTCCAACACCGGTGCCAACCGCTTCCATAAATCACAGCGACCCTGTTGCCAGTCAGGAATCGACTCCACCGTAGTTGCATTTGTCTGTATTTTCAGTCTTTGTCCAGCTCCCCATGGTTTCCACAATGGAGCGCTATCAGCCCGGAGCTCATTCGGGTCCAGCGTCCTTATAAAGCTGATATAGTAGTTCATCACTACTGGAATAATCGCCGCATTTATATCCCTCATGCTACTGCTGACGCTACTACCATAATTCAGTCCGAAGATGGCCTGGAGATCGAAGGTGTGCGTGACACCAAGCCCGGCAGCAATCCTCGGCGGATCCTGGACATTATAGCGGTAATTCCATACCCTGTCAGACCCGTCTTTGAGGAATTTCGCCATGCTGCTGGTGATATGAATCCCTGGACATACGATGGTGGCATCACCAAAGGCAGCCGAAGCCGAGGGAAAGTACGCTGCATGTCGCGGAACTGGGTCCATCTTAGGGTACGCCTCGTTAATCGCCTGTAACTGCTCGAGGCTCAGATGAGGGTAAAAACTCTGTAAGAAGAGTGAGACCTCTTCTGGACTGGTGGCATTATATGCAAACGAGGACCCTTCGTCCGTATCGCTGGCCACCATCAACGGCACCCGAATGAACTTTCCTTGCTCGAAGGAAGCGTAGAGCCGATCTCGGACAAGGTCCCCGTCTATAACCGGCCAGAACTTTCCCAGCCCAGCAGGATAGCTAGTTGGGCCTTGATCTGGTGAGCTCAAGTTGGCTTTCTGGATCGCAGAGACATCTGCAGAGCGCAAGCACGCGAGTGTCGAGCATCCCACGGCCGCCAGTAAGCGGCGATAGAGTACCTCAGACTCGAACATTGTTACTTGAGGAGCCCACCAGGGGCTCTCTGGAATGGCGCCCACGAAAAGGCCGTCGTTCCGGCCTCCATACGCCGCGAGGTGGAAAGTCACTGAGCCACCACCGGCCGACGCTCCATGTATAACGACGTGGTCCGGATTTCCGCCAAACTAGCCGGTCAGAAACCCAAAAGCCATACAATAGACGGTATTTCTTACCTGACGAATATGCTTCTTCACCCACTTTAATGCCTCTCGCTGGTCCAACAAGCCAACATTCAAGTCACCATGATTCTGTACTTCCTTGCCCGCTAGGAATCCAAGCGCTCCGACGCGATAATTGAAGTTCACGAAAACGATATTGTTCCCGGATTCCTGGACGACCTCGGTCCCGTTGTAGTTTGCATTGGAATTAGTCGCATAAGCACCTCCCTGGATGAACACCCAGACGGGCAGTTTCGATTTTTTGGTGGCATCGGAAGGCGTGAACACATTGATAAAGAGGCAATCCTCTGCTCTCGTCGATGTGGCACTCTGGCCTGTTCCAACACAGATGGGGCTAAACTGTAGATGGTGAGCTCCAGAAGCTGCTTGGAATACATGATATATTTACATCCGATGCATCTTGCAGGGTAGAATTATGAGCTGGCTCCCGCGGAGCCCGAAAACGAAGGTTTCCTAGAGGTGGTGCCGCATATCGCATGCCCAGATACTGATCTACTCCAGCTGCAAGTCTGACTCCTTGATACCGCGAGTAGCCAAGGTCGACCACGGGTTCAGCTGAATGAGGAGCAGCATGACCTACTAAAGAGCTGGACAAGATACATAACAAAGTGAACAAGATCATATTGACATTAATTAAACGTTGATGGGAGCCAAGCTTCAATCAAGGCCATTCTCTGAAGGATTAATACCCCAGATAACCCCACATACCCCGCCTCCTTCTTGACTGCTCGGGATATTTCGACCCGAATATATGATATAACATGCAAGTTCCATCCATGGCGCATTCTTGAGAGATCTACGCTACCCATTGGCTTCGGACGAGCGGAAGGATGTTAACGAGAATGTCTTGATCACTATCTATATACAGCTGATCACGACGCAGTAAAGGTCAAGTTATGGACATGCTCATTGGCAAACATAGGCACAAAGTCAGCAGTGTAGTACCAAGTCGGTTTCTTCATTCCATCGTAGATCTTCTTGCCGTTGACCACCAGATCCTCAAAGGTGACATTGGTGATGTTGCGCTGTTCGTCATACCCTAGCATCATGGACGGGTTGGCATTCGTCCCATTATATTGCAATCCCTTGATATACACATTGCGGATCCCCCTTCCCGGCGACGTATTGTACTTGGAGTTATACATGATGCGCAGGTTGATCAGCTGGCCCTCGCGGAAGTTCTCGACGCGCATCCCATCCACCAACACGTTCTGGATGAGGTTGTCGTCCCCGGCATTAATCGCCAGACATCCCTGGTACCACATTTGCGGCTCACGATGATCAAGCACGTCAATGTTCCTGATGGTGACGCCGTCCATCGTCTCGGGGTTGGGTGTATTACCATGTCTGCGCCCGCGAAAGGATGCAGAAGACGAAGCTCATGACGATAAACCGAGTGACGCTTCACCACAAGAGAACAATACACCTGCAGAGACCGAACGTCCTCATGACGGTGAATCAGTGAACTCTCCCGATCCTGAATCTCAGCCTGAACCCGAGCTTGAGCCAGAACAACCTAAACGACGCAACCGTCGCACACGTCGACCCCAGCGCGATCCCGAAGAGCAATCCGAAACACTGTCCGAAAGTCCTGCACAATTTGGCACCTCGAACAACCGCGAACGGCGACGTCGTCCCCGCCGACGTGACGAGCAGCGCATAGTGCCCTTCGGAGCAGACGGCGTAGGGAGGGAAGTCGGGCGGAGAGAGGATACCAGCGGTCCTCTGGGTAATATCAGCAATGCCAATGGCATGATGATGGGGCAAGATCAACAAAATCAAGCTCAGCCAGAGAAGCAGAAGAAAGGGTCAAAGGATAATACGTTATCGTTACGGCTAGACTTGAACTTGGAGATCGAGGTGCAATTGAAGGCGAGGATCCATGGTGACTTGACGCTGTCTTTACTGTAGGTCCACTCTCCTGCTGTATTGGGTATGTGCTAACAATTTATAGGAATTAGATCTGGTATCTACGGGAGTTGGGGTTTGGGGGGTTATGAATACTCGATTAGTTCGCAGGAATCAGATATTACCAATTTGATACGGGCATAAGACAATCTATATAATAGAGTATCATGAAATGTCGTACATCATGAGCATCATTCGAAAAATACAACGCTCAATCACGCTCAATCCTAACCAGCCAATCTGAATCTCATTCAAGAGATAATAGTTACCGCCGGCCGACTCAAGTATCCTTCTTCACTTCCAATTTCTTCGGTTTCCTCGGTTTCTCACTCTTCTCATCCTTCGCCTTGTTCTCCTCCTTCTCGCCCTCGGGCCCCGACTCATCCCCCTCATCCTGCCTATTCGCCAACCAAAACCTGGTGATGGTTCCCCCCAGGAAATGCTGATCAATAAACCTCACCAACCCATACAACACCCACCCCCAGCCCCAGAGCGACACCCCCATCATACTCGCAACCAATAGAATCGGCCCCGCCAGGAGCAACGAGAGCACTGCCCAAAGCAACACCGCAACAGCTGCAAAGAGAAACACACCCGCCAGGAACACCAGCAGCGGGACCCCACAGCAGACGAGCTGACAGATGATGAACGAGGACGCGATAGGCCGTTTTAGAATCGCTTCGTACATTTTGGCTTGTCGTGGAGGAGGGAGGATCCAGGCGATGAGGCCCTTGATCCAGTTCTCGAAGCGGTCGAGGATGTTGGGAAAGAAGGAGAAGAGCCATGTTTTGAAGGCGGACCAGATGGAAGAGAAGGAGATGTCCGGTGGTGGTTTGTCATATTTGGCGTCGTCGGAGGGAAACTCGCCTGGGATGGTTTGGTCGGTGACTTTTTCAGTGGTGTTGTTGAGGTTTTGCGTGGTTTGGTTGACTGTCCCTGAGGCGGTTTTGGTGACGGTGTCGGTGGGTAGGCCTTTGTTTAGGCCGCTGTTTACTGAATTGAGGGACATTTTGTGGTGATTGCCTCTCAGGTATACCTCTAGTGATGTTTGAAGAATGTGAAGTTCTGTTGAAGCATATGAGTCTTGTTGATGTGATCGTCACTCTCCCGATGACGTAGTGGGCGTTGCATCACTCGCCAGTTGGCATCACATCAAATCCAACATGGAAGAGTCATTATAACCTGATCGACCGAGGCTTCTCAGCACTAATCAACGGAACTAACCCAGGATCCCCCTTGGCCATAGCAGTCTTATACGCCTCCCGCTGGCTAACTCTCTGCAAATAACCCAGAATCCCCTCATACCCCGCCAAACTATACGGGAAGAACAGCCTTGCCGTCGTCAAAGTAAACACATTCATCACATCCGCCGCTGTAAACTCCTCACCCGCCAGCCAGGTATTTTTCGTCAGTCGACCATCCAGGATCTTCAACGCCTGCTCGAAATTCCGCCGGGCGAATCTCGCGCTGGGATCGTCGCGGGAGATCCCCGATCGGAGGACCGTGGAGTACCCCACCAGCGCGGGCTGGAAGTAGCCGTTTGCAAAGTGCAGGAAGTACAGATAATCAGCGTAGTTGTCGGCTGTGTGGGGGATGGCCAATTTCCCATTCCCGTATTTGGTGAGGATGTACTCGGCAATCGCGCCGGATTCTGCGAGGGTGGTGGTGCCGTCTTGGATGACGGGGGCGGCTTGTGTGGGATGTCTGACAAGGTCAGTCACTTCACTTCAATCTGCTGAGTTATGTAACACGAACAACTGCTGCAATTCTGGAGGGGCTAAGAAGGTTTTTGCATCGCGCTGGTAGGTTTTGAGCTCGTAGGGAATGCCCAGTTCCTCGCAGAGCCAGACAATGCGCTCGGATTGAGATCGTTGGAGATGATGTACAGTAAGCATGATGAATCTAGATCCCCTGAGAAATACCGTGAAGAAAGATTAATATTGGGATTGAGTTGGTATTAAGCCTGGGAATTTATATACTTTAGGAGGATTTCTAATCTCCATCGGGCCAGATCTGAGACTGCAAAATACCTCGGCACGAGCAACCGCCCGTTATCTCGGTCAGTTAGACAAATTAAAATTGCCAATGCCATTGTAATTAACATAACTGAAGCATGCAGACAGACAAGTCGAACGCTAATAAACAACGAATACTAACAAAGCCATGGTAGAATCCACCCATGCCAATGGTTCTTGCAACCCTTCCATGTGCCACTAAAATAGTGCTTCACCAGCACATCGGGTGAAGTGTGATCTTCCCCCTGTGTTATCGCAAAAGACCTTTTGGGAAGGATCATCACGTCTCGAATTCTCACAGGATCTTTCAAGTCCCGGAGATTTTGTACCTGCTCCTCCGAGCAGCCCAAGTAGTCGAGGATAGTATCGGTCCATACACTCGGCCCTGTCCAGTCCATAACATTGACCTCAGCATCCCCCTCCAAGGCGTGCACCTGTTTCACAAAGCTCGGCGTCCTCTCCGCAATACGAGTGAGTAGATCCCGGAACATGGGGTGCAAAGCAGTCGACGCCATCGTCCACTGGACGAATTGCGGCGAGCGAGGCAGACCTTTTGTGGTCGCGTCTCCTTCCAGTCCAATAATCACATTCGGGGGACTATGATGCTGGTCTTCAGAACCCATAACGGTCCATGGTAGCGGCTGGACGAGGTGGACGTCAAGGTCGCTGTAGACTCCTCCTCGCCCAAACAGGACCAGATAGCGACAAAAGTCCGACTTGAGCACCGCATAGGGAAGCGTCTCAAATGCGGCCGCAAAGGTTCCCGACGCGTCCACCTCGCGTGCCAGCTCGAGGCAGGCCTCCTCACTCCAGTACTCGACTTTCCAGCCGGATTGCTGCCATGAGATCACGTGATCACTGGGTTCAAAGTGCGAGATGGGATGGTCGGGCATCGACAGGAGAAGCTGATGGACGGTCTGGGGAATGGCGATCGCCGTCACCGGGTGTGCCTCGGTGACGGCAGGTAGGTGAGAACGGTGGCCATAGTAGCGATAAAGTAGCCCCAGGATGCTGAACAAGACGATTGCCTGGATGGCAACGAAAGGCCGCATCGGTGTCGCTATCCACAGAACCCAATCTTCGTCCAGATCCAAACAGTCATCAGCAAGTATCTTTATTCCACCGCAGCGTTCGATCCCAGCCGACTGGACGGGATACGGGAGCGGAGATCGTGGTGCCGAAATACCTCTCTAGTCGTCCCTGAAGCTCGAGCGCATGATGAACCGGTGTTCCCGTGCTGGTTGATCGTCGGTGGACCTCTCTCTCGGATATGATCTCCTGCAGCGAAATATCCCTTACTGTTGATCCGAGTTCTCTTCAACCACAGCGTTGTGGTTAGAATCGTGAGTGAATTGAAAAGAGGAATCCCGGCATTCTGCACTTCCGCAGAGATTCTCAATCTTCGGAGAATGAGGGGGGAAGTTGGAAGATTGCCTGAAACTAGCAGCTTGGCGCGACCCTTAGTCTCGGAGATGATGGCCGTTTGCAATGTTTTTGACTATTTGGGAATTGGGTTGTGTTGTTTGTTTGGGCATTGAGGCACTAGACTATATTGGGAATCGCTTGACACGTTTCGCTCAGAAAGGAAGGAGCCCGAAATAGATCCTCAGGCCATCAACTCTTTCATCCACTCCAATCGTCAATTGTCTCACCCTCTCTTCTGTCTCTGAAAGCTTCATCTACTAACTAACAGGAGCACCATCAAATGCACAATATTGATCCAAATTTCCATAGTTGCGACCGCAATTTCCCAACTATATGCATGCCATGGCTGCTGCCTGATTCGCCGAGAGGCGAATCCTTCAATTGTGGAGAATTGCCTCCTCTACTCTGTTTGAATCTCAGCAGTATGGCTATTATCGTTTCCTATCATCTAACAAAATCCTCATGTTATGCCACAGATGCTGCAGATATCTATGCGATATAATGGAACCGAAACAGTAGGATTAAACAGCCGCTTGTGTTGAACATTGATCGCTCAGATCTTTTCGAATCGTCTCTTATTCAGGCAGAGCTCATTTTATCAGTGACGCTCGAGAATCTTTTTGCAGAAGGTCGATCCCGGACTGGATGAGAGCATGGGCTACGACATCGCAGGATACATCTCTTTCTGTCACGTGAGATTGTGGCATCTCTCTCTCTCTCCCATCCAGATTCTGAACATGTCAGGAAAGACAACTTCTTGCATTGATGAATCCGTGAATTAACTTGATGGCATGTTTCCAGATTTGTCTGTCACAATGAGGTTGACTCGTAAAAGATGGCATTTACTGCAACATTCGACCATCAGGCCCCCCGCAGCTGACGGGGTCCCGCAAATCACTGCGCGTTTAAGGCGATGCTTACCTGGCTGTGTGAAATCATACGCTTTTTTTACCCTACATGGTGGATGAGATTGGATATGTTTAGGGTATGACCTTGTCTATTGCACGAGACGCGTCAAGTAAAGTCCATAGATCAGACACTGGCATACAGAGGCTGAGGCCTCCCATACTTCAATCCAAATATAGAATTGTCCATTTGTTGATCTTATGTGAGACGGATGAGATTCAAATATATATATAATAGACGCTACATCTACGTGTACCGTGAACCTGGACAACCACCAGCCTCACAGTCATCATCCTCTTCAAGCACAAGCTACAGACCCCTCAATATGAAGAACCTCTCTCTTGCAACTCTCTTCGTCTCCCTCTCCGGCTCCCTCACAGCAGCCTGGAACGTCACCGCGTACAGCAACACCGACTGCACCGGCTACCTGACCTCCATCGCGGGTGAACAGAACTGGGGCTGCTACTGGCTCACGGGCGTCACCGAGCCCATTCAAGCCATGAGTGTTGAGGATCTTCCGGAGGGATGGAGGTTCATTGCATCGAGTGGTACCGCCTGCGATACCTTCCACCAGGTGGGTGGCAACGGATGTTACACCCAGGGCCAGGGATTTCAGTCATTTGAGATTATTGGGTCGAGTAGCTGAGTATGGTCACCCATATGAATTATGAACGATACTAATCGGCACTTAGTTAAGAGATCTCTCTTTGCATAGTACTCTGTTCGTATTGGGATTGCCATTCCCATGCTTCTCTACGTTATGCTCAAAGTGCCTCGGTGTCGTTGAGAAGGGATTCTAGTTTGGAAGTTGAATATATTGTAATGAGACGGTCGAGTTGTTCTTCGAAATGTCAATAGAATAAAATTGAACGATACACCTACCGATACTGAATGTCTTGATTGAATACCTCAAGGCTAACATAAAGCGCAGAATCATGAAAAACAGGCGACGAGTAAGTCAGCACCCCTCGTTCGGAAAGATGGCCAGAAAAAATGAATAGGGACCACACACCAGAACACCTTGCTACGTTGTGCCCGTGGCATCAGGTAGCGCCGACAACCCAAAGCCCCGAGCCAAGCTCATCAACGACTGAGTCACACTGCACTCCAACAGACTGCGCCATATCCGCCGCTTCAGCCAGGAAATCCTCATTCGGCCGTCGAGGGTTCGTGGCCCAGACACGAAGCGTCACCCGCTGCAAACTAGGAATCCTCTTCTTGGTCTCAATGACCCGCTGGTCGACTGCAAAGACCATTCCGTACGGATCCCACGCGTAGTTGTCGAATCCAGACAGATCGTTGCGCATTACCAAGTGCCGTAGCTTTGGGGGCAGGTACTTGTGGAAATCCGCCCAGTTCTCGTTCGAGAACCAGCCCAGTAGAAGCGGCATTGGGACTTCGAGCTCCTGAAGCTTTCTGAACTCACTGAAGAGCATCTGGAAGGGATCCGTCAGTGTGTTGCCAAAGTTATTATCCTGGTCCCAAGTGAATCCGCCAACGAAGCTTGGGTCAGTCTCGAGACCTATGGAGAGGGTTTCTAGGCGGTCTTTCAATGGTCTTAGCGCGTCAGCTAGTTCCTTGCTGTCAAAGAGTGCCAATTGCGAGACCAAGTTGTAGCATACTCCCAGGTGCAACCTCCGGAGATTCGGACAGGCGCCGAGGATGTCCTTGATATCGGCAGCGTCAACGCTTGACCTGGCCAAAACCAGGCTTTCGAGCTCGCCGGCCTCCAGCCGATCCTTGTATTCATCGAAACCGGAAGTACTTCTAAGCCACATTTCCACGTGTTTCAGCCTAGGCAGGGCAAACCAGGGAGCAAATTGATGCTCGTTGCCCAGTAAGGGAATGGCAGCCACTGCTTCCTCCGCCTCATTGTCGAGTTTCTCCGCTTGGGGAACGTCGCCGCCGTACTTCAGGATCTCCAGTCTGTTGAATCTGGAAATACCTTCGAACGAAGAGCGGAGGGCATGTTGGAGAAACAGACCAGGGAAGCCACCGACCAGAGTATAGGTATAGTCCAGCTCTAGGACTCTCAGGTTATGCAGTTGAAAAATCAGAACCGTCGCATACGCGTAATAATCCCCCTGGTGTAGCAACGCCGCGTAACCTACCGTGTCGAAAAGCCCGATCTGGCTTACGAACTGGATAGCTTTCCTGGTGACAAAGGCAAATCTCGTGGCATGCTGCTGAAAGTCAATGTCTGGATCAGGCAGAACCCAGGCTGGTCCGGTGTAAGTGAGCTGGAGATGCTTGACATACCCTGCAAACTGCGGATTGAGAAAGATCTGCTCCAGGAGCAGAAGGACTCGGCGGAGAGGCGTGGCCGTGTAGGTCCAGACAATGTCCCTAAAGACGAGGGGCTTTGCCCATTTGCGGAGGCCTTTGGAGACAGTGGAAACAGCCAGGTTGTCGGTGGTGTCTAGGTTGTCGAGGACGTTCACTAGACATTCTGGGGGAAGCATGCTAAGCGGGCTGAAGTTGTCAGCTGCATTCTCAGGGTTGTTAGCAAAAGGTACAGACCTGGCCTGCGGATCCATTTTGGAATGTTTGAAGTGCTCTTTGAAAGGTGCTTGAAGGGGCCAAAATTGATACGGAAGTCGACGGTGATTGGTTTGGATGCTATGGGTAAGGGAAAAGGTGAAGTGTTGATGAAGGAGACTAACCTGTTTGAAGAAAGCGGACATTTTTATATACAGTTGACCACTGAGGTGTCTCAGAATTCCCTTGACTGTCTAACATGGGGAGATATTCACTGCGACGAAGACATTGTCAATGAGACATCGACCTTTATCTTTCAGATACCCAACCCGCTTTGTCTTCGACCCTCATAGAGAGCTCTACCACGGGATCGGGGAGCATTCGAGACATTCCCCTTTCTTTCATCCCTAAAGGAAACATCGGCCCAGAGAAACAAAGACCAATGCCGGCTGGCATTGTACTTGGACGGAGATCTCCTGTTTGATTTCCGGTTCGACGGGGATCCCCAGCTATACAGATTGACCAGCTGTGCCACTACGAAAGAGTTCCTATCGTTGTATGATAATTAGGATATTAGTGGATGAGAAAGTCTCATAATTGAAAGCAGAAAGACGCACTGCCGTCACTAGGAAGAAGTAGGAGGAGGCTGGCGGACGAAGGAATGAGTTTCTAAGGAGATTCCACGATCCGAATCGACCGAGGTTCGTCTTGTTTTACGATCTAACTCTAACCTGGACTTCAGGAAGCGAGATGCTGTGGTCAATTCTGAGATTTTTATTGTAGACATCAAAGATCTGTTGATCTAAGCAATCTTGATACAGCCTAGTTATTCTCAAACAATGCAGCAATCTCCTCTTTGTAAAGCTGCAGACTCGGCATCCGCGCCACACTACCCTTGACCGTCCGAATGAAGGGCCTGTCTCCACTGGCGAAGATCAAACGCTCAGGACTCAGCTTCACACACTCATGGCAGTTCTCGTTGACTTTGTCAATATAGGGCTGTAGACTTTCGATCATCGCCTTACGACCAGCGTCCGATGCCACTTCGGTCTCATCGTGCAGCTCCACCAGAAGCACCGGGAGTGGCCGTCCATGACCCCCAATCAACGCCGCTTTCACCTTCGGATGCTGTTCTATCTGCGGCTCCAGCGACGCAGCATAAAGCCCATCCGCATGGCTGAGAGGAATATAGTCATCCACGCGGCCGACAATCTTCCACAACCCTTTACGCGTGGGATGCTCAACCCACAGATCCTTAGTCTCGAATCGGTCGAGGTCCGGATAAAGGAGGAAGATCTGCTGCATTTTACATTCGGGCACACGCACAAAAACAAGCTCGTGAAGGTCACCCGAACGGGGCTCGAAGACCGCCCCGGCTTGTTTCTGGAATTCGACGTAATCCCAGTCCTTGTCGTCACGGCGGAACTTGGTAAAATAGCCGCCCGATTCGGTGCTTCCGATGGCGGGAGCGAGCTGGACGTAAGGAGCGAGAAGGTCGCCGGACTTTCGTGAGAGGGGGGCTCCGCCATAGCTGACCAACGTGAGGTTTCTCAGTGCGGAGAGGGCTCGATCGTTCAAGCACATTTCGTCGATGAGAGCTGGGGTTAGCAGGGCGCTGTCAACACGTCCGTATCTGAAGATATCGACGACAGTGTCGGCGGAAGGAGGCGCAGGTGGGCCCACAACGAGGGTTCCGTGAGCATATGTGGGGATGGAGAGAACCATCACCATTCCTACCAGCTTTGGATGGTCAGCTCGAGAATCAAGTTGTATTAGAGATGGTTACGTACATGCAAAGATGGTAGAGGCGTGTACCAGCGTCTTCCGGGAGCGTGGTGCAGCAAGAACTCATCAATGTCCGGCAGAGACGCAGCCACGTCCAACCCAGCCATCATCTGGTGAGTGTAGGTGATGGGTTTGGGAAATCCTATCTGTGTCAGCCCATGATACTCCTTAGGCACTTCCAGATCAACTAACCTGTCGTGCCCGACGTATGAGCCACCAGCCAAGGGTCCTTCTTTCCTTCTTCCCAGGTCTTGGGATATACATAGGGTTCAGCACGAGTCTCTTGTAGGAGACTGTCAGGATCAGGAGCTGTAATCTGTTGGATATGGGGCGTATCCTCCAAAATGGCACTGACTACCTGCGCCATACTGGACGGTCTGATATAAACCTTGCATTGTGTCTTCTTCAGAATCAAGCGCTGCGCTGCAGGTGGAATCAGCGGCGATGGGAGCACCATCTGCATAAATCAGCGAGGAACATTTATGTCATGCCAAGGATACTGACCACTTTCTGCAACTTTCCAGCTGCAGCAGCAAGAATGGGATAGCGAAGGTCCTTAGGGCCTGCATAGGCGAACGATTGGAATGGCTCATCGGACTCAGGGAGATTTTGCCGCAACCAGTGAACAGCATGGTTGACTGCGTTGTCGAACTCTGCGAATGTGATCTCTTTGTATCCTTTAGATAGATCGTTATTGTCTATTGGCATCGACACCCAGGAGCTGTCTGGATCGTTCTTCGCTCGTTCTTCAATCGTCGCCACCAGAATGCGCTCGCCATGCTTTATGCCAGGCAGTGGAAATGTAGCTATTTTAGTCATCCTCACTGATCTCGGGAAGTAAACGGTGAATTGCTAGTGACTCATCAAATTTAAAAGTGGGAGTCCTCGAGCCAGACACTATATTTATACAAAGTCAGACAGGGATCGGCGCGGGGTTGTCAAACTAGAGCTGTAAAGAAATGCAACTAAGACTCGTCGTTCAGTCCCACTACGGGTATTCGGATCGGTGATCAGCGCTGCCTGAATTCATCGGACATTTTATGTTACAGCTTTCATGCATTGACATGAATGAGGGTTCAGATGACTCTGCCACTCGTAGCCACCGGTTGTGCTTGAGGCGGAAACTAGCAGTATGATACTTGTACGGTCGACGCGCGGTCCACATTCTGGTCTACGTTCAAGAACCGGTCTAGGACTAATGCATGAAGACTTTGTCGGCGCGAGACTAAGGCCTAGACCCGACTTCCGAGGTAATCGATCAGATTACTTTGCTTGAAAGCCTTCGATGCTGACTGTTGATGTTCTCAAGTGCAGGGGTAAACGCATGCGGGAAGTTCCCCAGCCAATAGAAAAAGAAAAAGTATGCGCAACAGAAGATGGCATGACACATTCTAAGACATTATTTGCGAAGCTTATCGGCCTTTGCCATCCAACTTTGGGTACTCTCTCAAATGGCGCACATCCATACAGAAATTCTTCGCGTCCATATATCCATCGCCATGTGCAGTCAAGCGCTCTTGTAGTAGCCTTTTCCACTCAATATCCTCCTCGGTCCATCCCCAAGAGGTGGAATCATACTCATACCATATCGGATAATAGGCAGCGTATTCCCCAGTCGAGGATTCCGACCAATTGTCCATCTTGAACCATGATATTACCCAAATTGAGATCGCAATGAGTGAGGACATAGGGTTCACATGGGGGCATACATTTCCTCAGATTCTCCAACACTCCTTGAGGGAACTGCTTTGTAGGTGGATTGTGAAGGGTAAGGTTTATAGCATCCCAGAGCTCAAGGCCAGAGTGGAAAGGCCCATGGGGCTCGCGATCAGAAAAAAGCAGCCGCGGGTAACAAGGGCTTTAATCAACACTCTGTATAGCTTCTGATGTGAGGGACTGCAGCTTCTTGCGCACTTCAACGACCTGATCTGCTATAGCCGTTTTCTGGGATTCTGATAGTGAAGGCCAGGCCTGCTCAAGTGTCTGCCCATGCATCCGCATGAGAAGTACAAAGTATCGTCCGTTGGCATCAACCCAGTCTTGCAAAACCTTGGGAGCTGGAATATTGGCATTTGGATTGGATGCAAGGTACTCCAGTATGGTCACTTCGGTCTTTGGACCTTCGTCAGGCCGCTCTTTCAAGATCACATCGGACCCAATCGACCAGGTAACCCGTAGGTCCGCACCGTAGAAAAGTCTGACATGACTTGAATAAGAGCACCGCTCTTGCAGCTCGGACGTCCATCCGCATGGAACGCAACCTTCGGATGACTCCTTCGTCATGATGGCAAATAGGTTGTAAGTCAAGGGGTTGAAGAAGGGTCATTGGGATATGAAGCGAAGGATAGCTGCTCTCACCGCCGCAGTGAGGCAGTCCAATCAAGACCCTGGTAGTTGATATGCATAGTCATTGGCTGTTATCTTTCTCCTCCATACTTTGTCTTCGATGGCTCGTGGGTGGCTGGGGACTATTTTTAAAGCTTCACGGACAGGTGAAACCTGGGGCGACCAGAACTGCTGCATGTTATGTTTGCATTCAATGGAGGTGAAGGGACCACTCGAGGCAAGGTGGCATTTTCCAAGTTCGGATGGCACCCCTTGATTATCGCTGTCAAACTGACATACTTAAGTTCCGCAGATCAAACCTAATTGGGATACTACAGGCTTCCTCTCCGGCTTCATTGGATAAATGAAGTCAGCACGTAATATCGCTTTGAACAGCCTCACCTTATTGTTGGATATTCCTAATTTTTCCTGCGTAATTTACTTTTGTAAATCATCATCCTATCCTACAAACATTGACCAAGATGCGAAATCACTGTACCCCGCAGATCTGTATATTAGCCCCTGTCTAGTGCCAGGATAGCGCTGACATCAGGCGTCCCCATCAGCACTACCCAAGAGCGATCCAGATTTAAATTCGCAAACTTCCAACTGACGCTCCGATCTGTTCGTCGCTAGATAAACAGTCTACCTTACAATGACGTTCCCTTTCAGGATTGTTGAGCACATCATCCCCGGACAGCATATCCGGGAACATCCACATGCCCTAAAAGGACGTCAGGAAACAGCTTTGAAGCTTGCGATCAAGCAGTATATTCCGCTCGATCAGACGGAGCCTATTCCAGAAAATGCTGTGACAATCATCGGGGCGCACGGGAATGGATTTCCAAAGGTGAACACATCCTGTGCCAGGATTTGCTATGAATCTCTCTAAATCCAGATAGGAGGCATATGAGCCGCTGTGGGAGGATCTCTACGCCCACCTCAACAAGCGATCAATTCCTGTGCGCAGCATTTGGATTGCCGATATCTCCAATCAAGGCGCAAGTGGTGTTCTGAACGAGCATGTGCTGGGGGATAATAGTACGCTCACTTGATTCATTTCGAGCAGATAGAGGAAACTGATAGCGAGCAGCGCATTGGCATGATCATTCCCGGGATCTGTTGCATATGATCAACCACTTCCGCGACGATATTACTCGTCCTATTATCGGAGTCGCCCATAGTATGGGATGCACACAGCTGTAAGTTATCTAGCCGTGCATGATCATCGCTGACAACCCGCAGCATCCAGTTATCTATCATTCACCCTCGTCTCCTCTCAACGCTTATCCTCTATGAGCCCATCATCTTCGGGGAGCCATCCGGGGGCCCGAACCCCGCAATCTCGGCGGTGTTGCGTCGAGACCTATGGCCTTCGCTAGAAAAGGCCGAAATGCAGCTGAAACGAGGCTTCGCCAAGTGCGATTCCCGCGTCGTGGACCGCTACCTTCGCTTCGGTCTACGGCCTGTGCCGACGCGCCTCTACAACTCAGAGAATGACACCAATATTCCCCCGACAGCCGTCACACTAACGACCAGCAAGCATCAAGAAGCCTGGGCGTATACCATTCCCAATCTCGAACCCGAATCAGCGGGGCTGAACGACCTCCTACTTCCAGACTGGGATCCAGTCATAGAACGTCCTGCCCCATTTTCCCGTCCAGAAGCTTTCGCGGCTTTTCGGAATCTGCCCTTTGTGCGGCCAAGTGTATTCTGGGTCTACGGTGGCCGGAGCTGGCTTTCTCCACCCGCTGCTCAAGATTCCAAGTTACGAGCGAACCGGACAGGTATCGGAGGAAGTGGAGGTGTGGCTAAGGGGATGGTAGACAAGGCGGTTTTACCGAAGGCGACACACCTAGTCGTCTTTGAAGAAGTGGGTTGGTGTGCGGAGGTCGCGGCCAACTGGATTGAGAAGTGGTTTGCGCGATATCTGAAAGAGGAAGAGTTCTGGCGAACGTACCAGAGCAAAAAGTCCGATCCGGAGATGCTCAGGAATTCCGAGGCCAGTATCCGGGTTGCTAAGGTGGTAGTAGGGTCCCGCCCTGGTGTCGCCAAGGGGAAGTTGTAATCTGCAATACTTCAAGCAGCCCAACATCAACTATACGGAATCTGATACTAGCTTCGCTGTCCTTAGAATCTTGTTCTACGTCACTACGAATATTGAAAACACTCTGGGATAGATCCAGCAATGCTTGTCAAGCTTCTATGCATATATGGTATATACTACCCACCCACAACATTACATAGACATGAATGTAGCCATCAGACTGAGTATAGTCCTCCTCAGCTATCTGCAGGAGCATAGATTGTTAAGACACCGCTAGTAGATATCAGATTGATGACTTAGAAGCCTCAGAGGCACAGAGTTCTTTCTGGAGCCGTGCTGACTGATAAAGTTTACCCATATCTTTTCCTTGTCTCACACGAAATTGAAGGGACGAGTCTGCGATTACTTTATTGCCGCTGCACCTATAGGTATCTACTTATAACGATCCTCACTTGGATTATTTGCATGAATGACGTTATTTACTAACCCACTTTCGCTATGCAGACTACACCACAACTCCACTTCCCTATACAGACCCCTCCACTCCGCCATATGAGTCATGACACATCCGGGTATACAACATCAAAGCTTATAGAACGGAAACAGGCTTTCCAGGTGTCAACCAGCACACCTTGTCAATGATACCCTCCTCCTCAAAGTCCTTGCGGAGCTCCTTTCCGAACTGTGTGAAGTGGCCCCAGGACTCATAGTGCATGGGAACAAGAACATCAGCCTTGACGTCGCGGAACAACCGCGCGCCGGACTTGCCGTCCATGGTAATCTGGCAGACACCCTTGCTGGGGTCGGTCTTGTCGACGGGTCCGTGGGCGTTGCCCAAGTTCATGATGGCAGCGCAGATGTGGTACTGCTCTCCAACTTTCTTCAGCTCATCGATGTACACGGTGTCACCGGTGAACCAGATCGCGTTGGGAAGACCGTCACGGCCGCGTCCGAATTCCTCGTTGGTAATGATAAAACCAGTGCATTCATCTCCAGCGAGGTGCTGGGTGGGTGTGCCGATGATCTGGAACTTCTTTCCGGCGATGACGGTGTCGATCTTCTCCCAGGGCTTGAGGCCGTGGACGCCAGGGCGGGGAGACAGGTTCTTTGCTCCGTCCATGGTAGTGAAGACGCAGCGGCCATCTAGCAGGCGGCGACCCAGCTCATCGAGGTTGTCAACGTGGTCTTCGTGGCTGAGGAGAACGGCATCGATGACGGGGAGTTGATCGAGACGGAGAGCAGGATCGTCGCTCACTTGCAGCGTTATCGTCTCTGTGACGGGCCAAGAGGAGCCGGCGGGAGAGAAGAAGGGATCAGTGAGCATGTTGACGCCATCGATCTCGAGAACGGCAGTCGCCGTGCCGATGTGGGTGACATTGAGTTTGGGAGCCATTGTGAAGGATTAATATGAAATTGGATTGTTAGGAGTCAAAAAGGGATGTAAAATGCGTAGGATGTCAAAGGAAAGTGATGGCTATGAAAGTTTAGTGTTTTGCTGGCAGGAAAGGGGAATGAAGTATATTTTATACCCGTGCCGAGTTGGAGGTCTGTCCAGTTGAAGTCAGAATTGAATTATTCATTCTGACAAATGAGCCAGCAAATTTGTCGGCCTGGCAGGGCACGGAATACCGAACTGAATACAGCGTAGTAATGCCTAGAAACTCATGAGGGAATCCTTCGCCACTATCGGCTGAGAATCATATTCATGACGATGGTGCATTTCCTAAAAGGGATAGAATATTCGCCAAGAACAGCGGGACGAAGGTGTTCCAATATTGATGGGATGAGCATAGTCCGCCCAGAGGACTGCATTCTGGATAGTGAGGTTGCTCGAGTCTCCCGACCAGTTGTTCCGGTGTTGGTAGAGCGCAATATTGTCGTCCGAGTTGCGCATGAACACGCTGTCCACCAGTACGTTGCGGCTGCAGTAGGAATCGAATCCGTCGCCCCATGCGCCGATGGAGAAGGACCGGATCCCGCGCACGGTCACATCGGTTGACACTGCGACGCCGATGTTTGTATTGATGAGGACTAGGTCGCGGACTGTAACGCGAGACGAATACTCAATTGTGACGGGGGCTTTGAGCAACAATCCTCGGCCGCGAATGCTGGCGTCAGAAACATTGTGGAACCCTAGTGGAAGGGTGACGGTGGCTCCTGCAGCAACATAGACGGTTTTACCGGGCGGAATCAGTAGTTGTTTGTTTGTCGTGGCCGCTGTGCTATTGTTGATACCAGGATGGAAGTAGATGATACCAGGATCTGATGGCTGAGGCACCTCAGTCTCAATGGGGTTGGTGAGCAGGTTGAGCACGTCCCAGATATTATCGTTGACCTGGATCACCACATTCTTGGGAGAATCAAGCGAGAAAGTGATGACGTCTCCGTGCACTTTTGGGACGATGTTGTATGAATGCGGACGGATGACGGCAGAACGTATAGGGCCATTGTTGTAAGTCAACGACACCTCGACGGAGCCACAGAAATCAAAGTAAGCGACAGAAGTGTTGTGCACAATACTCGCTCCGCTGGTGGTATTGGCCTCGCCGACTTGGACAAGGAACGGTTGCACAGTGTACTCTTGCTTCTTATGAGCAGCTGAGCGCACTTGAACCGCGAACGAATCATATTTGCTCACCCCGGGAGGAGTGGGATGGACGACAACAGGTGCTGTGCTGTTGCAGGGCTCTCCAGCGACAACGTCGCAAGCTAGGAAAGCCGCTGCAGTGGCTAACAATATACGCTTAAGCATGATGACCCTCAAACCTCTGTTTGTGCTTGATTGCATTCATCATCCTGGTCCTATCCTTATATTTGAAGTTGTACACTTGGAGTATGCAGCGATGGGGACCAGACTTTGTTCCGGGCCATTTGCCGGGCGAACTGGTTAGTGTCCTTGACGATAGAGAGTAAGAAATAATGGTTTACCCCCGCATGTTCCTTAATTCAGCAGCCGGAGAATTTGCGGAGACTGTGGGGGATGATCATGCGGCGTCAATCATGTTTATGCCCATTACGGTGGATATCCCGGCGAGTGCCCGGACCATTCAAACAATGCAAGAAATACTCAATTCCTATCTACGTCATCGTCTTTGACCCCAGCAGTTCTTAGACCAGATCGACAGTACCGAAAAAGACGACAGGGACAGCTTGAGTCAATGAAGAAGTCATTGGCATCTTAACATAGACCCTGTAGAGGGGTGTCTGTAGTATACAACTATTTTTGCTGCGCCCTCATCACGTCTGCCAAATCCTTAAACGCCGCACGTCTCTGGTCGACAATCGCATTGAACCTCTCAGCAGGCCCAATACTGCCTATAACGATCTGGTCTTGTCCCGCAAGGAGACCTTTGATTGCAAGATCAGCAAAGGTGTCCAGAGGCATGCCCAGCTTGCGGCAAATCTCCTCGCCCATATAGAGGTGTATCTCGGCTATCACAACATTAGTCAAACTCCTCGGCCAAAGATGCAGGGATGGCATACTCTGCACTGCCGGAGGTGAGATTTCAATCACCGCCACGTTGGAGTTCTGCAGCTGATCACGTAGACACAAGGTGAACACGTTCAATGCAGCTTTGGAGGCCGAATATGCTGGCATAGCTGCAGCTGGGACGATAGCCACGTTTGATCCGGTGCTATTCGGTCAGATAATCACAGTTCATGCAGTCGTGGACGGTACTCACAAGATGATACTGGTGGGGCTCTTTTTCTCAATCAGAAAGGGCAGAAAGGCATGCGTCAACGCGACCAGACTAAAGTAGTTGACGTTCATGTGCTTGTTAAATGGCTCCAGATCGAATTGGCCCCGGTCGTCGAGTTCAAAGGGGAGTTGAATTCCTGCGTTGAGGAAAAGGCAGTCCACGTCGGGGTACAAGTCGATGATTCTGGTCTGTCAGCAGGGCCATATGGCTGTATGCATTACTTACTTAGCTGCAAACTTCGGGATATTCTCTTGCACGGAGATGTCAAACGGAACTGCGCTGGCCATTTGCTCTCCATGTTTCTGAACAAACTCGTCTAGGCGGTCCTTGCGACGACCAACAGCTGTGACCTTGACCCCGGCTTGAACCAGACGATCAGCCATGGCACGACCTATGCCAGAAGTGGCTCCAATGAGCAGGACATGCTTATAAGGGAAAGACATCTTTCAGTAAGTGGTACTAGACCAGAAGTTGAAAGGAATCGAGTGCGGGCAAGATGAGAATATATATGATATGGTGTTGAGAAAGGCTGGAATGCCAGGAGAAATGCCTACAAGCAGGGAAGGATAGACAGTCTGAGCATTACCATGACCTCCTTTATATATGAGAAGATATCTCTCCCTCGTCTTGTTCCATTTCTCATCATCTATCTACTGTCTTCTGCTGCCATATGAGAACGGTCCACTTGGCGTCGAAATGCCTGCCCAAAATAGCTTAGCGTGGTTTGGACCCATACCATTTCTTCTACTTTCCCGTCCCTTGTCTTTCTCCCATCAGCTACAACAACACGTACGTCTATCTATCTATGATCAATCTTGATGGTCTTTCGTGGTCGTCCATCGAAGGCGTGCCAGCGCTGTCGGGCTCGGCGGTTAAAGGTATGCTTCCCTCGCACATGCAGCCGGGACTGTATGTAACAGAGACCAGTGTGACTACCGTCCGGATTCGTGCACACCATGCCTTCGTGCAGCGGTGGTCTGCCATGGATATCGGGACCCACAGGCAATCCGTATTGTGGATCAGACCGAGGACGCGCGGCGCAAGGCTCTGCTGAAATGGAAACCTGCTCGGCTGACAGAGGCTTCGCTATCAGTCTCCATCGACGTCCAGGCCCGTATGGTCTTCTTCGCCCATTATGTGTCTGAAGGCTCCCGCGGATGGGACTTTCTGATTCGATGGGAGCGTGGGACAGAGATGGTACCTCGTTGGCTAGATGCGAGCATTGATGCAGTGAGCTTAGCTCTTCTGGCGCACCACCATGTCTCGGCTCCTTTATTGACCTTGGCTCGTCAGCGGTATGCTTTGGCATTGCGCGTGATGAAACAAGCTCTGAGCTTTCCCCCGACTGCGAGAGATAGCCTGATCGCGGCATCTCTACTGTTGGACCTATTCGAAAAGATCACCCACACCGACGCCAGCGTCATTCAATTCTGGCCGAGCCATGTCAACGGGACACTCGCTTTGATCCAGAAGATCGGAGTAGAGCATTTTCAAGATCACTATTCCCTACGTATCATGTCGCGATTCTTGACCAACTACATCATCAGCTGCGTGGCCAGCGCGCATGCCGTCTCCAATGACGTGCTCATACTCCGTGACCATCTCGAGCGTCATTTGAACTTGAAAGACGATCCGAAATGGAAGATCTCGGGGCTGACGATGCGGTATGCATCTTTTCTCAGTGCAGTCCAAACTGGCAGATGGTCACTTCAGGATGGCATGACCCGCGCACAGGATCTTGACCAAGCCCTTTTGGCGATCTCCCGGGACATGCCTCCAGAGTGGCAGCCGGACAGGCGGATTCTGCGGTACCCCTTGCCCCATGTGTATGGCCAAGAAATGGACTTTTATCGTGATCGTCATGCCACTCAGGCCTGGAATGTCTTGCGGCAAGTTCGCATCCAGCTGAACGAATATCTCCTGGATGGTTATGAAACGCTGAACGCAATCCACGGAGGTAACCAGCTCGCCGCGTCTGAAGTTGCGTTGAGTAATATTGCGGCACTGTCACTCGAGGTATATGCCTCCGTTCCGCAATATGCAAGCTATGCCTGCCGACCGAGATGCAGCCAAGGACAGGCAGATGGCACAGACGTCTCCGTTGTCTCGCAGAAGAGCTGCAACAAAGTGCATACGCCGTCCGAGCTCCTCGACTGCTACACTCTTCTGTTTCCTATGTACATTGCCGCTCGATCCAAGGCAGCCACGGTCGATCAGAGACAGTGGGTCTCGTCCATGTTCCGTTATATCAGCGATCACTTTGGCATCCGTAATGCCTTGCTACTGGCACAATTACTCGACCAGAACAGTGATATTAGCCCTTGGTGCATTTATGCTATGCTAGGGGGATACGGATTCGCCGCTTGATCTCTGGCCGCCGAGCACATGACTACATATTAGCAAGTCGACACCTTTTGCCGGTCCTCACTCTGCTGTGCAGTTGGGTATCTGGAGCTGCTGAATGTATCCGTCCATCAGACTGCCCGGAAAATCTTACGTCCTACGACAGTCAAGCGGAACTCAGAAGCCATGCTACTTGGGCTGTCTGTGCCTCTGTGCTCCTCCGATAGATTCGATCTATGTCATTGACAGCATGTCTCCACAGTGGACATCATGTCTAAATTTATTCTCATTGATGATTGGCTGTAAAGTTCAGGTTGAATCAGCCAGGCTTTCTGATTGGGCAATGCGAAATGACGTCGGTGGCATTCCGCACTCGGTGATGACATTTGATTCCGATTCAGGAATCCGCACCCAAACTGCCAGAACGTGTCGATCATCCCCACCTTTATAAACATCGTTTCAACTGACAGGTCTTGCTTGTTTACACTCATTCCAAACCCACAATCATCACAATGGCTGCCTCAACCCAAGACACAGACCAGCCTACGACTCCTACCCCACAGAAGAAGAAATTCGAAAAAGCTTCTCTTCTGCGGTTCTGCTCCCCCACGGCTTTTCACCAAGGGGATAGATTATTATTATTGACAAATATAACCCATCTTATACTTGGCCAGAGCATTTGACGGCTTACCAAGCCAACTTGACTGAAGGTTTTGGCCTTGCCCGACGGCCCACGGCGATGGTTCCCGAGCCGAATTCCATTGTTTGGGATAAAATTGAGCCTATTTGACGGAACAGATAGAGTTATGCTTGCATGAGTCTGTTGTAAGTGCGAATAAATATCTAAGAATGTGATTGAGAGCTTCGTCACTCCACATCAGTCCAAGTCAGATCACACCGGGACACAGCAGTCGAGTTCGTCTAACAACTAACGGTGTAGTCTCAATTGAGTCAATAGAAGATGCTCTCATAGCGACTAGAGATGGAATAAGGTGTTTGCCGCTGTATCATAGGTTCATATTCCATTGCCGACAATCCGAGACACGTCGATCAATGCAATCGTGGCTAACCATGCCACGAGACGGCCAAGTGTCATAGCCACGGTGTGACGTTGTCAGGATCCAATTGGTTACAGAGGCCGTGGTAGATCTCGCAGTCAGAGTCTAAAGTCTGTGGTTCGAATCCTCCTTCCAGAATTTCCGTTTGCGGAAACCCTAATGCAGCGCCAAATCCCTCACTACAGAGTAGGGAGATCTCTGGCATTTTCGGTCGGCAAAGTCCCGGTCTTGAGGTCTTGGTAGATATTCGGCCATATGGAATACTATGCTTATTGTAATTAGGATTGATTGTCACTTGAAATGGACCCTGATTACTCAAGCTTCATATCTATCTGAATCCTTGTTATGATCGATTTCCAGGTAAGCGGATGCCAAGTGTCACCACCAAGAGGTTCTCTTGGTATGGCAAAGTTTATCTGCCGGTACTTCCGTCCTCAGTTAACGTTACCATGATCCTTCAAGGGGCATGGAAGGCCCGAGAAGATCCCCCGCAGAAAGCAACATGGTGGCAGTCGTGGCCAAACACCTGACATTCTCTCCCAACCCTACCTACCATCACGATCCAAGCCCGGTCCGCCGTCGGATACCCACCAATGAGAGAGGATTCCTGGACTGTTTAGATGGTAGAAATGTAGAGTTTTGGGACAAAGGGTAGTAATACTAGTGTATCTATACATTCTCGCGTACTAGCAGTGTATTGATCTCCAGATCCCAATCAATGGGCATCATATCGCAGTAACAAAAAAAAAAGCATAGACAATGGGCTATATACTACATCACTGCTTTTCCAGCTGACATAAATCATGAATATTCTCTACTGACGATTTCCTCGATCCCTCCTTGCTTGCCTCCCCAATCATGTTCATACTCTCTTCCATCTGGTTGTATTTGCGGAAGCAGAAGTAGAACACGACAGCTGTGGCAAACATAGTAATGCTGAGAAACGCATACTCAACCAGCACTTTTGGATCAACCGATACAGGCGACAGGGTAACTCCCACCGTTGACCCGATCGTGCAGGTCAGAAGGAAGAGAGCGGAGACGATGCTCCGCATTGATCTTGGGGCTTTGGTATAAGCGTATTCCATGCCTGATAGACTGGCGAAGAACTCGGAGAGCCCTATGAGTGCGTAGACCGGGATCTGGAGGAGAATGCTAACCCGAGACGGCGGTGATTGATATATTACTGCGTTCTAAGATTAGAAAGTCCTTCGGAGGCTTGAGGAGACGTACATTGTTGGATGATAGCAGCGATGGCAATGGCAAATGCTATAGCGACGAAGCCGGTGGTCATGCGACTTATGGGTTTGAAAGGGATATCGAAGCGTCGAAGGGCAGGATTGATGAGACGTTCACTGTTCTGTCAGTTTTTGATGATGTCGGATAACGTGAAGGAACATACAATAGAGGGACCGCAATCAGAATGGCCAGAGGATTGAATAGTCCCACTATGAAGGTTAGAAGACGCTCAAATAACTGGCTGGGACGAGGCCGTACTCATGTCATGGGGCATCCCGTAAGTCTTAAGAGACGATGCCTGACTGACGAGGTTGTTGTTGGCCTGGCCATTGCATAACCAGAAAATGGGGCTACAAAGTCAGCATTATCAGATGAGTCGAGGGGGGAGTGTGAACATACTATAGCAGACTGGCATAATGTTAGCGGTGGTAGACTACTTAGGGCTTCGACGGAACTTACAATACACGGCAGGCAACAAGTGCTCGTTTCAACTCATCAACAAACGTGTTGTCCCAGCATACGGGGGTTCCGGTGGCCTCCATTGCGAATGGTCGTGCTGCATCCATGTTGCCATTGTTCTTTAGGCTAATCCACAAGACTTGAATGGCTTTGGCAACGGCCGAGCCTTGCGGTTGTTGGACCACTACCATGATTTAGTCATTATCTTCAAGGGAATGGCACCTTCACCTACCATATTTCTTACGGCCAGCTACTAAGGCGACAATGGCCAACAGCCACAAACAGAGCGGCATCATAAAGGCTGCCCAGAAGTCGACCTTGAGCTCCAGCCACTATTACCGTTAGCGATGACCTGACGAAGCGAGGGGTGCACCAACCGAAGCGGGGATGATCGACAGAGCTCCAATGTTTATGACCCTTGAAGTATGTTAGTTTCTGACACGCCTTTATAATCCTCAAGACTCACCAGTAGTATCGCGCATAGACCGTCTGAACTGTTATGTTGGGATCGACAATGACCATCTCTCCACTCGGCAGTGTTTTGACTCGTTCTGTGCGCATAGAGTACTGCTCAGCAATTAAAGGGCCGACATTGCTTTTGATACCACCGCATCTAATCCCGTTAGCATAAGCGGCAATCCAGCAGTTGCAAAGACATACCCCAGGCCAATCAATAGCAATGCGAGCATTAACCCTGGTAAGCCCCCTCCATGCTCAAGACTTGGAGGTAGCGACGTGAGGAGCAAAACCAAGACGCCGCACACGGAGAGTCTATGCAAGTTTAGTTGTATTTGAGAAAGGACGTAGAAGAGATCATACCCCGTCCCTAGGAAAATGGTCTTGAATCGACCTAGATAGCTGTCTGCAACAACAGCCCCGAAAATCGGTGCCAGGTAGCACCATCCCACAAAGAAGTAACTAATCCCGGTTGCTACTTTCTGGCCCTGCTTCTGTCAGCTTATTGCAGAGCAGTAAGGGGGCTGTCATTTGTACCAATCCCAGGGCACCGTGGTGAAGGACATCACCACGACCATGCTGTATGTAATTCTCTATGCCTGTCAGCGATACCCTGCCAAAATGACCATTGATAGAACTCACGCATCGGTGCTGTAATGGAACGATATGTAAAACGCTCAGCCAACTCCACTACGGCCACGAGAAAAATATCCAGTGAAATGTCATCGCAGACGCGTCGAAGACATCTCTTCTCTGGCTCTAGCATCTCCACATGCTCGCATTCAAATGAATCGGTTGGTTTCATTGTGGAAGAGAAGGCCATGTTTCATATCTTTGCACCGATGGACCGCCCTGTCAATGAATCAACCTTTCAGACACATGTTTAAGAAATAATCGATGGCAGATGCTCCATATATATAGTCCATGATGATCTGCGTGAAACAGTGCCATGATGGCATTTGGAGATCTTCTTGGCCCGAGGAATGGATTCGCAATCGTTGGGCGATCTGTGTGCAAGAACATATGAGAATATAATGAATCTGTATCTGCCGACCTTGAGTCCATTGCCTTGATTCAACCATAGATCTGCTATCGAACACGTAAGTCGTGGCGAGAGTAGAGCTGCATGGTCCATAGTACCAGACTTCTCCTATGACGATGGTAGATATGGATTGATTGTATAGAACTATTGCCTCATGTTGTGCCTTTTCAAGATGGTGTCAGCCTTATTGTCAAGATATGGTCAAAGTACCTCCTTGCAGTATCCACCGAGATTCTTGCCGCGTATGTTGATATCCATTGGCCCACCACTGTCAGCTGCGAATCCCTTGCACTGATAGAGGCAAGTCATACTGCAGACTGATTGCTCTGCGTAGACCATATATGACGTCAAAGCATTCAGAATAAACAAGAGGACGAGATTCCACCTCCAATTCTGGTGAGGAATGTGGACTGTCCAAGGGATGTTTGGACTATCCACGTTTACAAATCCCGATTGTATTATCAATAGAGCGCGTCCTTTCAATCCGAGAACACATCTACCATCTTGCAGTCATCTTTATCTTAAAGTTGGAAGTACTAGGATGTATGAGTTCTCAGGATGCTTTTGTGGAAGAATGCTGCAGTGATATCATGTCAACCTTTCAACGCCATCAGGAGCGGGTGAGAAGCTTAGCCCAGCCATGAACTTTATTTAGAGACATAATAGTGATGACCGTAATGAGAAATGCAAATTCCAGGAACATTGAATTCTTCATTCTCTAATTCGAAGCATGGGCTTTGAACGTGGCCACCGCAGGCTTACGCGGTGTCATAGAGGTACCACGAACAACAAGGATAGAGAAGGTCAGATGCCACTACTTTGCAGACAAATTATGAAGGTTTCGCGTCAGTGGCTTTCCAACGAGTACGGATGAGCGCCAGCGATGAATCGACGTTAAATGATTGAAGGCAGTCATCCACCAACACTCGGTTTCAGACCTCGAGGCATCAGTTCACGTTTCAAAAAGACAGGGACAAAGATATCCACATACAGCGTCAGTAGTATGATAAGCATGCTAAGAGTGATTCGAACGCTACATTCTCAGCTAGAAGTCTCTAGCTGGTTGGATCATTCCGCCGGAGATAGTTGCAGAGGTTCGGATGCTCTAGGATATCTGACCCATTTGCATTGTTCATGCATTCCTTTAAGTGTGCCAAGCCAGTGATTACGTACGACTTGGCCTTTTGGGACCTTTCTGCTTTTAACAAGGTGTTTCTCAATCTTGAGCTTGCTTTGGACAACTGCTGTTGTGATCTCGTAGTCAAGCGTGGGATAGGCACCCAACACTTACCACCCGTTTGACGCCACCATCCTAGGAGTATTAAAGTTAGAAGCCACTGATCACCAGTGGGGATCTTCTGCTGTTCACAGCCTTTGGCTGGCCCATTTCCCATGTTCTTACCAGCTGTTGTAGATCAAGACAGGCATCAGGCCACACTTCAATAACCTCATCTCGGTCATACAGAAGCTTCCAGGCCAATACAGCCCTACTCATGACCTTGTTACTTCGTTGTCACGAAGAATCTACTGCTAAAATACATATCCTTCAGCTTGGCTGTGTAGTTGTTTTGAGCGTTGATATCTAACACTCAAGCTCTGGACGGATCGTAACCTGGGATAGTTGTCTTCTATTGTTCACAAGGCCATCTTTATTGTCTAAAACCTAGAGTGTTTTCTAGCATGCCTTTTCTACCTATGCTAAGTGATTGTTTGACTTGGAAGGTTGCACCTCTCCGTGGGGAAAGATCACTCCACACTCGCAACTGCTTGTCTAGTGACATCAAAGGCTCTCCCAGAAGACAAGACGGAGACAATATTCTTAAGCCATGACCACTCGGAACCTACGGAGGTGGAAGAATAACCTTGTCCGAACATGATGGGCGGTGATGACACCACGACTTTCTCTTTGTGGGGCCGAACTCATGTACTTTGACAAAGAAACCTCATGTCAGCGCGTTCATCCTGTGACAAGAGTTGCAGAGCTTCCATCTGATGTACATTATTTTCGGCTCCAAATGAAAGAAATACCGTCCACAAGTCTGAAGAGCGATCTATATTATCGCGCCTACGCGTTTGCTAATTGCTGATGGCGCGATTAAGGCAGGCCATAGAGATCCTGACTCTCCGGATTGACTTCACAGGAGCCAAGGTCGACCTCTCACGGACCCAAGGAACGTCTATTGATATGATTGCATGACACCGGATGGTCAAGCTTGCTTGCGATTCGAACCGCCATGATGTCAGGATTACAGTGAGCCTGTCTCTGTCATGCAGCGATATAATACTAGCCTATCGGTGGTGGTCTCGTCTTACTCGACGCCTGCATATTTGATGTAAAAGGATTCTCTTCCAGCACCTACTTACTGTACTACACATTGGACATAATTGCATACCCGTGATATGGTTCCAATTCGAGCCAGAGCGCACAATGCTCGAGGGAGCCCTGGCCAGCTCTCCATGCTCCGAGAAATGGTTGAGACCGTTTCCCGGGAGTGCAACCCACGCCTGGGGATGTCTTCCAGTGCTATCCAGGCCAAAGCCCCGACTATTGATGCTTTCTTTGACGCGATCGCTGTGGAACGTTTGAGGCACATGCCGGCCGACGGAAGCCGGCTCGACGGTGCTCTTCGACGCGCATCCAGCCTCGCCTTTGCGGTGGCCTCGTTACGCGATGCTGTTGTTTCATTCATGGACGGGGCGGAAGAAGCCACTAAATTGGTCTGGGGTGGCCTTCTGCTGCTCCTAGAGGTGAGTCACATGCAGGTCTTTCGGACTAAAACTGACAATTTCAGATGGGTATCGAGCATGTGGATGTCCTGGACACCATTTTTAGTCGCTATGGGCGAGTCACGCTTCAGATTTCTCTCTTGCTACAGCAGGAGAGCTTCTTTAGAGAGTCCGCTTCGTTGCAGAACGAGGTGGCGAAGACCTACGCCAGTTTGCTGCAGCTTGTGCTACACATTACCATGGAGTACTATGACGCTTCACGCTCTTTGGACTGGCTGATGATGGGTGAACACGTCGATGCAGCGTTTTTCCAGTTCCACAACAGTTTCAACACCAACTGGCGAAAGTTGTCGGAGCTCGCCTTATCCAAGAGGACGGCTACGGATGTTGCTTCCATCTATCAGTTCCTTGATCTGCAGGATCGTCCCCTCCAGATGATTCTCGAAGGACACAACCACTCCCTGGCGGATGGCTCTTTTGCGTGGTTTGACCCGCACCTCACGACTTTCACTCTCAGCAACCGTGAGATGATGGTAATAACGGGCAGTCCTGGAGCAGGAAAAAGTGCGCTGGCGCAATGGACGGTGGAGCGGCTGCAGGTCTCGTCCGAGTATGACATCTGGAATGTCATTCCCTGCTGGGTGCGCGAGGATGTGCCTATCACAACGTTGACCCTTACCATCCTCAAGGGAATTCTCCTGCAGATGCTGGACCGATGTGTCAGCTCGTGGAAGACCCAAGAGGGTATTCTATCATCGGTTCGACAGGCTGCGGACATGGCCTCAACTGGTGCTACAGACACCCAGGTGGAGGACGTGCTCTGGTCCGCTTTGCGAACGGCAATGCAGTCTCACATGCACTTCATCATCGTCTTGGACGGTCTTGATCAAATCAAGAATGCGAAAGCCACCATGGGTGAATTCCTCGCGCGCCTACAAGGTTCGATCTCCGGCACGTCGTCGAAGCTTATCATCTTCTCCAGAGAGCTCCCAGCGCAGCAGCAGCTGCGCAAGAGCATTCAACAACTCTCGCTGACGCCCGCATTGACTCACACCGACATGCTTGCAGCTGTTGCCGACGCCATCAAGTCCGACGGTCAATTTTACGGGCTGGCGGACGATCAAATTGACACGATGGCCCAAGGCATCGTGGCCCGTGCTCAAGGGTGCTTCGTTTGGGCGCAGCTCACTCTCGAATCTATGAAACATGAGTCGACCTTCAAGGGCATGATGAGTGTAATTCAACAAGCACCAGATAATGTTAGCGAGTTGATTGGCAACCATATGAGCACCACTGACATCGCACGGCCTGACATCCGCTGTCTCCTTGGCTGGCTGGTGGCCTCTGAGCGTCCTCTGCGCATCAAGGAGGTTGAAGAGCTGCTTTCAGTGGACGCGGAGAGTCTCAAGCTAACGCCGCGCCCTGCGGGTGCTGAAAGAAACCTATTCAAGCCACTGGGCCGTCTGGTCATGGTCCGCGATGGATTTGTGGCCTTCCGCCACTCCATGATCCGGGAGAACCTCCGGCAACGAGCCATGTCTGCAGACAGCAACTACTCGGAAAATCAGGGATTTCCATTCAACCTCGAGGAAGCGCACTATGATCTCCTTACTCGATCCCTGGCCTGGACCCGTATCTGTGTCAAGGAAGATGTGGAGATCTCCATGGACAAAATGCCAGGGCAGCAGCGCGATGTCCTCTTCGACTCGTATATCCTCCTGGAATATACTTCGCGCTACTGGTTTGCGCATCTGCTTTCGTCCCCAATGACCACCCCCGACCGTCAATTTGCCTTTACACCGGTCTTCAAGAACTCCCTGCCTAGTTCGGTACTCTTTGCGCAGCTGGAGCTGACCGGCCGAGAGTCCCAGTTCACTCGATCCAGCATCCTGGAGCTTTACCGGCTGTCCGTCGCCGTGCGCCGCGTGGCGCTGGGGGAGAAGTCTCCAGCATTCCTGCAGAGCCTTATTCTCAGCGCTCGTGCGGCCGACTTGGCCAAGGCCAGCTGGGCTAACGATCATTTGTACGAAGCATGGACCCTCAGTCGGTCGCAGCTGGGGGCCTCCTCTCCGATCTCGATGGAGCTGGAACAGCTGATGCTGACCGCTCCTCAGCAGGCAGGCCGTGGCGACAAGATCGCGCGCCTGCGCACCGAGGCCCTTCGCGAGATGACCCTGTCCCACTGGGAGTCGACAGAGATCACTTTTACACGCCGCGTGGAGCATCTTACCACCTTGGTGACAACCTACCAGAGCAGTAATCAACATGAAGAGGCATACAGCGTCTCTAAACAGTTCTACCGACAGACTCTGGACAAGTATGGTAGTCATTCGGCGGAGAGTATGCAGGCGGCGGATTTCATCACCCAGCGCTTCCAGATCTCTTCCTCCGACGATCTCGCGCTGGAGATTGCGCATCTCAAGTACGAGAATATGGTGCGTTCGATGGACGTGACAGACCAACACCGCATCTCCTACTCCTTGTACCTCGCTCAGCTGTATGAGGAAAAGCACAAGACCAAGGAGGCAGACTCTATCTTGAAAAGGCTTTGGGCTGGACTTTGCTCGCATGATATTGACTCTGAATGGACATGGGAGAAAAAGACAAAAGTCGCCTTTGTGTACTACCAATTCCTGCATCGTCACGGCCGCCACGAGGAGGCCAAGATGGTCCTTGGCGAGTTATCCTCGGATCTGGAATCGGGCGGCATCCACTCGCAGGCGATGGCAGACCGCGCCACAAGCCTTCGAGCAGAGGCGCGAGCGCAGGGCCTCATCGGCATGGAGCGGACCCTGTCCATGCTCATTTGGAACTACTACCTTGCAAGCGGGGATCAGTACTCGCCCGAGGCCGTCACTCTGGCCGAAGACCTTGCCGACGAACTGATGTCCACCCATACGACGGTTGACAGTCTCGCGGGGCTGTCTCAAGAGGAACGCATCTACATCCACAGCCTTATGGGCAGCATTGCATCGTCGGGCAGTGGTCGCCACTCCACGTCTGTTCTGACCTTGTGTCACAACCTCTGCACCCTGCATATCCGCGAGGGTCAATGGAAACAAGGCAGTGACTGCGCCTGGGCAATCCTGAAGCATGTCTGGCCGGATGTCCACGATCCTACCACCGAGGCCAAGTTCCGATCTGACCGCGCCCCGTTGATCGCGAATATCGTGCTGGATTACGCTTACTGTCTTTTCCGTCGCCTCGATGTCGGCAACGCGACGACGGTCTACGGAAACGCGTTCAAGGCTTCCATTACCGCAGAGAAAGTGACCGTGCCGCACCTCACTGCGGTGGTCAAAACCGTGGTCGAATTTTACGAAACCACATTCCAGTTCTCCAAGGCGCTGGTCCTCCTGAACCAGGTCAGTCAGTTCTTCATTTCTCGTCTGGGCGATTCCGACAACCACACGATCGACAGCCTGTACTGCGAGGGTGACTTGGCCACTCGCCTGGACCGGAAGGACGAGGCCGAGGCTGCATATCGCCATATCTACCAGGTCAGTATCCAGGGGGGTAGGATCAGCCCCACCGGTGTTCGCGCAGCCATCGCACTTCTCAGTATCTACGAACAAACTCAGGACCGCGAATGCGCTCTACAGGTTTACCGTCATCTGTGGCCGACTCTTGTGCGTTTTGACGACAAGGATGGGTACGACCGTGCACTGCTGGAAGGTTTGCTAGACAAGACCTACGTGGGATACATGGGAACCTTAGCCGCCAGCCCTGCGGAGGAAAGCCACGCGGAACGTTTCACCGTGGCATCTCAATACCTCAACCTTTGCAAGAAGATCCATGGGAAGTCGAGCCCAGCGACTCGGGATGCTACTCTCCGTCTCGCGGAGATCTGCGAGAAAAGCGATAGCCATCTCGAAGAGGCACTTGCCCTTTACCGGCATATCCTCAGGACGAAGGAGTGGGTGCCTCAAACGCAGGCCTCCCGGCCCTTGCCTGATATGACGGATCCGACGGCGAAGAGCATCAAGCATAAGCTCGCCCAGATCTATCTACGGAAGAAGAGCACCTCCGACGAGGCGCGTGCTTTGTACATGGAGGAGCTTGTCTTGTCCAAGCAGCAGCGTGGTCTATCATCTTCCCCGACAATGTTGTGGCTGCGTGAAGTGGCTCTGGTGTATGCGTTGAAAGATACGATCGAGTCGCGCAACCAGGGCGCAAGTCTCCTACGGGATCACGCCAACGAAGTCATCCGCGTGACTGCCAGCCGCGACGCGGTGATCGAGCGCGCTCACCGACTCGCGGAGATCTATCTCGAATGCGGGTACAAGGATGCTGGTTACGATTTGATCGATGAGCTCCATAAGAAGGTCATCCACGAAACACCCAAGGCGCAACAATTGGCTCTGAACGAGCACCGCCCTGCCGTCTTTGTTGCTGCGTTCGAGGAGGAGTTTGGCAAGAAGATGACATACAACCAGATTCTTGACGCCCTGTCCCAAGAGAGCGGCGTGTACAGTGAGTACCAGACAAGTCTTTCCAGGCACGACATCGTCACCACTCTCGTTACTGGCCAGAAGCTTCATGTCCTGCAGACCGAGCAGCGACGCACGACGGCAGCCACCAAGACACAAGGCAGCTTGTACGAATATTTTTGCAACTCGCTGTCTGTTTCGCCCAGTTTGCGCTCCAAGGATGTGGTGCACCAGTTCTACAATCTCTGTCGTCGCGAAGTTGTCAACGCTGACTATAATATCAACATTATCAACGAGACCACCCACATGGTGCGCGACTTGTGCAACAGCTCCCGCTTCCAGGATGCAGCAGATCTAACCGGCGTGTTCCACTCGTTTGTGCACTTGACCGACGGTCTGAACAACCACGAGGCAATCTTTACAGCCATCAAGCTCTGCTTGTATCTCAATGGTTACCAGACAAGCAAGTGCTCAGACAATGGCATTGCTAAGAATATGGCATTCGAATCACAGATGCTCCTGCAGGAGATCATGACCAGAGCTCGCCATCTGAAGATCGAGTTCTCCCAACTTCCATTCCCCGAACTTAACGACCTGGTGACAGTACTAGGTGAGCACGAGATGTTTGACGATTTAGAGGTATTCCCTTTCCCCTCTGCCTCCCAGCTATATACATATACTAAATTACTCCAGGCCATCCTCACCGACCTCTGGACCTCGCGCCTCGTTCAAAAACCCTGGTCTTCTAACATGGTCGTCTGGATCGGCCGTCGGCTCGTGGAAACCCGCTTCTGCCGCGGGCACACCAATGCCGCAACCCAGCTAGGCAGAGACATCTGCTACAACCTACGGCATGTCTGGGGCAACTGCGACCCGGTCACGCTGGAGATGACAAAGCTGCTGTCTGGCCTGTACACGGCGTCAGGCAACCACCTGGCGGCGGTGGCGCTGCACGAGACGGCGCTCCACGAGCTCCTCAACGACACAGATATCGACCAGGCGCATGCGGCCGACGCGGTCAGCCAGCATCTGCAGCTGCTCAAGCATGCTCAGGCGCGGCTCAGCAAGGAAAGTGGTCAGGCTGTGGATACCAGCGCGTACGACGAGCTGGTGCAGCAGGTTGGTACCAAGTTTGGGGTGAGGCCGGAGAGTCTGCAAGGAGCGGGCGATGACGTGGGCATGTGGCATCGTCCGAGGAGGTTCAGTCTGGATGTGGAGGAAGAGCAGCTGCATTCGAACCATCTGCGCAGTAGCAGCGGTTCGGCGTTGCTGAATGGGAATGCGGGGGCCAAGCGGATTTCGATTACTGCGTTGTAGGCGCACGGTTCTTGTAATTTGTAATTAATTACTCAGAATGTTTATCTCATGAAAAGTGCTGGTACATAGTCGCAATTTAGGTGCTTAATGCAATCGTACATACTTTACACGCTCAAGGCAGCTCCTACTCAGTCAACAGCATACATGCACATGTCTTTTCCACCTAGTCAGTAGCTCATTAAAATTAAGGTCGAGGCAACAGTCAACGTCATTACCAATAGGAGGGCTGACTCTAATTGCGGACTTAACGCTATACCCGTGGGCCGTAAACCGCCGATCCCTACCACTAACTCCGCAGACCGTAGGCGCCGAAAATGATAAGACAGCTAATTATAAAGATTTAAATACCGGAGATGCCCCTCAATTCGATCAAATCCATTCCAGAGAATATCTCCATTGTCAAAAGCATATCCTTCAAAATGGGCTTCCTCTACTCCCAATTCTTCGTCACCCCAGCATACCCCACCCACTCCTTCAAAGACCAAACCATCATCGTCACCGGGTCCAACGTCGGTCTCGGCCTAGAAGCAGCACGGCACTTTGTCCGGCTCAATGCCGCAACCGTGATCCTAGCCGTGCGGAACCGTCCCGCCGGCGAAGCCGCCAAAGCGTCAATCCAGTCCTCCCATCCCGACTCCGACACTTCCATCCAAGTATGGGACCTAGACCTCGCATCCTACGCCTCCGTCGTCGCTTTTGCAGAGAGAGTCTCCAAGCTACCGAGACTAGACGTCCTCCTCTGCAACGCATCCATCGCAACAGAAACCTTCCAACTAGCAGAGGGCCACGAGCGAAGCATCACAGTCAATGTGAACAGCACGATTCTTCTCGGTCTTCTCGTCCTCCCGACCCTGCGCAAAAGCGCAAAGAAGTACGGGACCAAGCCGCGTCTGACGACAGTCGTCAGCGAAGTGCACGCGTGGACGAAGTTCCCTGAGCGAAACGCGGAGAATACCTTCCTCGCACTGGACGACCAGGGACACACAAACATGGGAGAGCGATACCAGACGTCCAAGCTGCTGCAGGTGCTGGCCCTGCGGGAGATGGCGGCGCGGATGCGGGACGACAGCGTCGTGGTGAATATGGTTAATCCTGGGCTGTGCCATTCGCAGCTGGGCCGTGAGGCGGGGATCCGGCTTGCGCTGATGAAGATGGTGATGGCCAGGACGACGGAGGTGGGGAGTCGGACGCTGGTTGCGGGTGCGGCGGCGGGCGAGGAGAGTCATGGGGCGTATATGACGGATGGGAAGGTAGATAATAGTGCGTTGTCGGACTTTGTGCGCAGTGAGGAAGGGAAGAAGGTGCAGGAGAAGGTTTGGGGGGAGTTGAGGGAGATCCTCGAGGAGATCAGGCCGGGTGTGACGGGCAATTTGTAATATTGCATAGAGTGCATGTCTTATATGGCTGTAATGATAATCATGTATTCTACGCATGTATAGCACATTGAAGTATGAGCGTGCGTACTCTGATTGTATATCCGGACTTAGCGGACATAACGGACAAAGGCATAAGCATATGCTCAAAGATAGTTAAGTGAATGACAGTCTGAAGGAATGTAATCTAAGCTGCGATATAACAAGGAGCAATGCGACTCAAGTAAAGCCACCTGCTATTCTTTGACCAAAGCAGGACTAGATGGCCGTAACATCGACCCAGAACCGGGTATCATCCTTCTGATACTTGGGATCACTCTCAATCTGCTGCTGGATCCACTGAATGGCACTTTTGTATGCTGCTCCAATTAGCCACGTACCTCCACCAGGGCGGGAAAAACGTACTATTGATATCCTCCGTGTAGGGATTCTGCAGACCAGAAGCTCCATTGCGATGGCCAGCAACCCAGAGGTCGAACCCATAGTGCTTCTCACTGTCATGGCGGGCCTTGATGTCCTTCTTCAGGTCGTGACTGTATTGTGTTAGCTCTACCCATTAATACGGGACAAGGACATACTTCAAGACAGCCCCGTTGGACACCTGCTCAGCAGATTGACCCTGGAACTCGCTGGCAGAAGTACGCAGCATCATCCAGTTCTGCTTGAAGATGCCAAAGTTGGTGGCATCGCCGGATTTGCCGTCGCCGTACACGTAGTCGGTTTTCATGTGATCACTGCCGCCAGGTCAGTCAATGGAAAGACTGAGGGAACAGACCGGTAAGGAACCTTTCTAGCATGGCAATCGCCATGTCCATGGTGTTTCCGCCTGCCTTGAGGAGGGCTTGCTTGCGCTGTCCGAGCTCATGAACGGTGTAGCTACCGCGTCTGTCACAGAGGGCAAGCTGGGCGAGGCCGAAGAGGCCGACAATGGTGGTGAACTTCATTTCGATTGGCAGTTGGTCTTGTCGGTTAGAATTATTCTTTGCTTGTCAACCTTAGAGATATCAGGATATGATGGCCCTTATATAGTGAAGAGGGGATCGCTCCAGGCGACTCTACGAGCCCTCAACTACGATCCACCAGCTCCATACATGAAGCAATTCTTGTATCATGCTTGCCATATCCGCTTACCTGATGATAGATGGCACTATGCCAAGACCCATCGGTACTGTGTAGACGGCAGTAGGACGGGCCGATCTGTCAAGTTACCAGCCCGTCGGATGGGCCCTAGGCAGGGATCGTGCTGGACATTTCCCCATTTGCCACGGTGAGTCCGTCTTTCACTAACAATAAATGTAGATTAGGGGCGAAAATGTGGTATAGGTGGAGACAGCGGGAAGTGGATGTTTCAAGGTGCTACAATGCGGGCCTTAACCGTCATCCGGCAGATTGTCAGGGTCTTCAGTATAAGCAGCCATTATCTTAGATTAGGAATAGAATTTCTAAAGTCTAACTACGGCCGACTGATTGGCATGCTCATTGAGTCCCACGTCAACACATGTGACGCACTTGTTTCTCGGACTATCCTCGGAACCTCATTGACCATAGCCCCAATACTCAACGGTCTACTCATCATGAAACCATGGATGCTCTAATGCCTGGCATGCTGTAACTCGTCTGTCCGGGTCCAGACTGCGAGTTTCTGGATAAGGACTTTGTATGCTGGGTCAACGACATCAGGCTACTTGGAAAATGGTTTGTATGGGATGTGTTCCTCGGCCCTCTGATCCCATAACATCCGTAGGATCTGACGACTAATAATATCAAGGACTCCAAAATACAACACTTGGCGCTGCAGGTGGATGAAGGCAGGAAATGCGCCCTTGGGATGTTCTCTGAAATCCTCATCAGGACCAACGGTGACGTGACGCGCCTGAGCATAGTGTAGATGCACTAATGGGGCTAGGTAGTACCTGACAACCTTTTCAATTAATCCGGTGAAGTCACAATAGCCCTAAATGGAAGGATGTCTGTTGGCTTGTTGAGCTTACCATTGAACTGCACCTCGACACTTCGCCAATTGTTGTGATTAGCGAGCACACCTTTGATACATCTATGTTTGGGAAGATAACCAGCATTTTCACGGTGCTGATCTGAACCTATACAACTATAATACTTGACTACTGCGCTAGCATTCTACCCTAATATTATCTGGCTTGATATCTGGATGTACTAGTTAGAACTCTAAGGGACCGAACTGTAGTAGCAATGGGGAGTACCTAGATGAACAACATCTCAATTGTGCAATTTAGCAATTCCTCTCAGGCTAGCCTTCAAGATCTGCTTCCGTGCCCGTAGAGGTAATCATTCCTTGACCAGAGAGGAAGTTGTGTCTCAAACATATGTACACCAATATTGGTTGGCCGGGTATGGTGTCACATGGCAATCGGATAATGATGACTGCTGTAGTTGGTGCCAGACTGTCCCATGAAAGCGTTCGGAAATATCTTTTGGTATATCTTTAAAGCAAATTGATCTTGTCTAGGTCTAAAGGACGTCAGATGTTGCCAACCAGAATGGACCAATATGTGTTTGCTTTAAGTAGTTCTTTGAACCGGTAAGAAGATCCTGAAGTTGCAATGTATTCATTAGGTGCAGACGCCTTTTTTGCAATGGTTTCTCTAAACATCGTCCTCTTTTTCTAAGAGGTACAGAATGAGACAACTCCAGAAAGAAGGAAGACAAAGTATCAGCTTGCTTGAGCAACAAGGGATGCTTGACTAACCAGTTTTCGACTTGATGAAAGGAATATAAACTCCGTTCGGACAAAAGTAAGATCAGAGATATCTTCCCTGTCTGCTGTCCGCTTCCACTGCTAGAATATGCAATGGAAGTACTTCAGAATCACAGCGTGGTCCATAAGTCTATAAAGCCAGCCTTGCAAAAGTACTCCTGGCAATTCAGTACAGACCAACTCACCACTTCCATTACCCATCCTTCATCATAATCACCGCAGGATTGCTTAATATGCTACAGCATGGCTTAGAATTGAGTTATATACCTGTGCATGGAGTAGTGTGACTAGTGTCAGGCATGCATACAGTAGTGCATACGGATAACCTCATAATACCCAAAAATAGGCAAGGCAACCTCGTATTCGCAAAATGTAACCTCACCACCTTAAATTCCAATGACTCACAGTCAACATACATAAGCCTCCTATTTTCTTCACTCTAATTCAACCACCAGATATCTATCTGATCAACAAAATGACCATGTCCACAGACAAATCAGCCAGACACTACATCGAAGTCATCTCCACCCGCCCCCAGAAACCCATCGAAATAGTCGACTATGACCCCTCCTGGCCAGACGCCTTCGCCTCCATCGCACTGCACATCAAATCCGCTCTCGGGCCTACAGCCCTTTCTGTCAGTCACGTCGGCTCAACCAGTGTCCCCGGCCTGCCCGCAAAAGCCATCATCGACGTCGACCTCGTCGTTCCAGACCCCACCGCCGAGGACGAGTACGTCCCGGCGCTTGAGGCAGCAGGGTTCCAGTTCCTCTTCCGCGAGCCGAACTGGTACGAGCATCGCTTCTTTGGGCTGGCAGAGCCGTATGCCAATGTGCATGTGTTTGGGCCGGGGGCGACGGAGTTAAGTCGTCATCAGCAGTTTCGTGAGTGGTTGTTGTCGCATCCGGAGGATCGGGAGTTGTATGTGCGGGCGAAGAGGGAGGCTGCGCAGGAGAGTCGTGAGAATGGGGAGTCGGTGCAGGGGTATAATTTCAGGAAGGAGAGGGTCATTGAGGAGATTATGGTGCGCGCGGGGATTCCGTTGCCAGGGAGTGATTAGTTGTCTGCCTGCCACTGTTGATATCGCTGTTTTAGGCGATCACGAGGTGCATGGTTTACCTTTGGAGGTGGTCTACACCATGGCATTATCTCGTCTCTAAGTTGTTGAGTAGCCTTACATAGGCTCTATTCAAGCAGCTGGCATGGAGGCAGTTAAATCAACCCGTAGATAAATCCCAGCTGATCCATCTCATCCCCATCCTGTCCGTAGAATCCCACAATCTGCCATCCTTGCGCAGCCGCAAACTCCTTGCAGTCCGACGTCGCAGTTCCTGCGCTCACCGTCCGTCCGGTGCTCGTCGTGGCCAGGAGGTAAAAGTTGCGTGTGTGGCTGTTGTACTGTCCCTGGCACAGCTTCGCCTTGGTCCAGTACTCGTTCGCCGCGAGGGTGAGTTCCGAGAGATTACCCCCCGTGCCACCGTGTGTGTAGCTCTTGCCAGAGGTCACGGTGAGACTGACGCTGTCGAGGCGCTCCGCACCGCGCAGGGAGATCTTGCTTGGCTTATTCTGGCCAGTGAAAGTGGTGGGGAGGGAGTCAAGGTCATTAAACCAGGTTCTACTTCGTTAGCTGCGTCATTGACTAGCGGTGCATGTGGCTTACCCGTGTGGTCCACCGAAGAGGTCGCTCTGGCGGAAGGAATTGGACATGGTCCAGCTGAAGTTCGTAGTGATGGGATTGTGATCGGAGAGGATCGTTCCGTTGTCGCTGAGGAACTTGTTGCTCTCGTAGTTCCAGAAGATGGCCTTCAAATCGACCGCACGGCTTCCCCGGTAGCTATTCCCGTCAGGCCTCTGTCTTGCAGTCACAAAGCTCAAGGAACGTACAAGATCTTATCGACAGTTTCACAGTTGTTGGTCGTGCTAGGATTTTCGCAGATCAAGGCATCGCTCCCCTCGGCCGGCTCGGCTCCCTTGAGAATCAGCTCCACCCACGGGTTAACCATGCCATTCTGCGTCTGGAAGACACGAATATTGTCCCCGGTCCTCGTATACCGCGCATTGGTGTCGCCAAACACCAGCACCGCATTGCCGACCGAGTTGAACTTAATGTAATCGGACAGCTGCTGCAGATTGGCACTTCGGGCCTTGATATCGTCGTCTTTGGATCTGTTCATGTTAGCTTTGTTACAGAACTGAAGGCAACAAAAATACCCAGCGTCGGTGTGAAGATTGTAAAAATCGACATATACACCCTCGTCGACGCGGACCCGCATCGAGGTGAACCCCTTGGGGGTCAAGCAGTCTGCCCCCTCAGCATTAGAGCATGTCCCCCACTTGGTCCGCACAAAGTTGGAAAATTGAAAGTTGGACAGCGTATTCAGTCCGGAACCGATCGCCGCACCGCCAGAGGTGGGAGTGCGGTACGGATGATTGTCGGTTTCGTAGATGTACGCGTGGTAGTTGAAGTCCTATTTCGTCAGTGAAATCCGTCGATAGGAGGGACGGACTCACCTCCTGCACATGGATGACGTCGTATCCGTACTCGGCGAATTTCTTACCAATCTGACGAGAGTTGTCGGTCTTGTCGCCTGGAACCTCGTTGCCGTTCAGGATGGGGGGCAGTCCTGCGACGTTGAAGGAGAGGATGTTGAACTCGCCAGCAGTGGCAGCCAGGGCGGGAATGCCCGCTGCAAGGAAAAGATGAAGAGAGCGCATTGCTATTGTGAATTACTCTCGTATAGTCAGGTAAATTGAGCTTATACTTGCATAAGAACTTGCAGATGTTCGGTGCTATTTATACCTCGGCCAGACCCGATGAAGACTGTGCCAGACGCTAGCAGGCATAAAGTGAGGCCAATTAATTAATCCTGCAGATGCCGTCGTAGCCAATTGGGTCGGTCTGGATTAGCAGACTTGGCAGCTCGTCACTAAAAGTGTTCCTATATTGAATGGAAGCTACACGTGGGTAAACTCTGTGGTGGATGGATATCCAGAGAAGGATTCGTCTTTTAAAGGCTCGGCTAATTCGACAAGGAATTCAGGCCTCCGGCGGATTCAATGTCTCACCTTGGTAATGTACATGCAATGCAAGCAACCGTATGCTTGGAATAAAGTCTGAAGAATCTGGTAAGGATCTTCCATCAATAGAGACGTTTCCGTGCCGATCGTTAATTGGTCTTCCACGTTTCGGAATTATGAACAGAATAAGCTGTCTCCAAGGTCCCTTCAATAGACTTCAGCTTATTGATCCAGAGTATATTTCATAGGACGCTCCAATGACTGCAGTTGATCTATATCTCTCAAATGGTCTCTGTTATGGAGTGTCTATGTACTGGCCAACGCCATGTTCTTGACATCTTCATATAATCGCATGCGGAGGCTGTTCGTTCCATCTACTTTGTCCAGACTTACACCACGTTTCTCACTTCCACCTTCATACAGGAACAGCAAGGGAATAGGATCATTCTTCCATTAGGAACCTGTGCCCGTCGAGTTTTCCATATCGTTCCGGCCAATGTTCCAGCCCCCAAAACCCAAACCAGAGCAGGTAAGGCAATCCACGCCAAACAGACCCGAACATACGAAACACTCGTCATCGCCCGTCCAAGCGTCATATTGGCACGACTCAGATCTGAATTCTCCCTGACTCGTGTAGAGCCTCCGCTTTAAGCCGCAGGAACCGAGCTCTTGATAAGTGATTTGGGGACCGGTAACAGCCTTGTGAAAACCTATCTGACAGTCTGACCCTTCGACTGCCGATCAGCGTTTCAGCCCCCAATGACGAGGCTGTGTATGGACCTAACTTCTCGGCGCTTAGACTACTCTGCCGATCTGGGAGGGCTAAGCTAGTTAGCCTGTATGAGGCGCTCTTCAACCGTCTTAGCGTCGAGCTCAGCGAATCGTAGGGTTTTCAGTCCTCCCCAAGTGGAATATGGGTATCTTTGTTATGGGGGTCTCCTTAGCTATCAATGTAGGACCGCAAACACTATAGATCCGTAGTCCTTCGCCCGGGTCGTGACTTCGTCCCCTCCATGCGGCATCAAACAGAAGGATAGCTAGACTGTATGATGCTCTAAGACTGCGATGCGGGAACTCTGTGCTTGGCTTTATCTATAGTGTCATTTATGCCAGTACTGAGGTTGTTCTACCGCGGCGGCGAGGCTTCGAGAACTTATCTACGGCGAGTCAGACCCATCTTGTGCATTCTCTGGGATGGTTGATCACAGAAAGTATCAACAGGTTGCCCCATTTGGCTGCTATCATACAAGGACCAGCTTAAGATGAGAAAGCCCCATCCTCCGTGTTACAGAAGATATGCACCATATTATTGCATCATCCATGGAATGCCATAGCTTTACCAGAGTATAAATTGAACAATTCATCGACCCTTTATATTCTTCCACTCCTTCTGTTTCCTCTGGATTCGGGAATGCCTCAACAACCTTGATATACCACTCCTTGACTTCCTTCACACAATATAAGCCATGCATTTCAGCATGCTCCTCAGTTGACGGCACCTCATTAAGTAGCTGAAGAATCTCCTGATCAACTACCATGCAGGCACAATATCTATTCCACTCACTGCTCTTGCCCTTCTACCCATCATTCAAAATGGGAACGGACATCCTCACTCATCGCGCCGTCAAATGTCTGTGAAGCTTCCATAATACTTAGGCGATGACAAGCCCAATAGCTCATCATTAAATCCCGCGCCTAGAACCAGTCGGAATCGACTGAAACTCACGCAGATGGTCTCTAACAGTTCTTATCCGCGAGGATCCTTGGAGCTGTGACACGATGCAGAACCATCAGGTAAGTTTTGTAGCCGCAGTACAAAGCAACAGCTAGGAAGGGGACTCAAGCACAAATGCCACCATTGGTCTCACGAGGCTCGTAGTTCGCCCTGATGAAGTGATACAAGTGAGGTTCTCTAGGAAAAGCTAAATAGTACACGCCTGCATAGTGCTGTTAGACGCAACAAGTCAGCGCACGAATTCACCAACCAATCGGTATAATGACGACACAAGGGGCCACATGCTTCATTGAAGCGTCCAGGACACAGCTCCCGACCTCAGAGTCACGAATATGCGAGGCGTATCGCTCTCACGTCCCAATCCTTAGAACCTGTGATCATAAGCAAAGCCAAGGAGGTGAAAATTTACCGTATCCAGTCTGATTACACTTGCCTAGAGCAACAAAGAGCCAGGGCTCGTCAAAACAAAGGGCCTATCTGGTACCAGACTCGTCTGTCGACGGAGAAAGACTGCACATAGTCTATAGTTAGATTTAGGCTTAAGTAGGTTGAATAGGTTCCATATCTACACATCAGATGATCAGCCTATGCTGTCTGTGGTAAGAAGTGGTTCTGTATTTAGGGTCATGTCGGCAGAATATGGGTTGACAAGACTGAGATTGACTGCAGCCTAGAATCACTACAACCATGTGCATTGATTTATTGGATAAATACCCCTTCAATGGTTGTCTATTCTATTCGATGAAATGTTTCTATTACTGATATTGTGCTCACTGACTACCATCCTTCCCCCCTTATCCACTCAGTCCTTGGATTAAGCCCACTTGCCTATCAACGCCATAATTCCAGCTCCCAGGAGTGTGCATCCCAGCATATACAAGATCTGTCCCCGTCGCTTCGTCCGACACGGATCAAACAAAAAGTCTCGTGCCAGCAACTCCACCAACCCACTGTATATCAGGATCCCCGCCGATATGGCGTCAAGTACCCCCTGCACGATCAGAGCCGTCCTCGAGCCTGGGTTATACGAAGTGCGTACCCCGAGCCCGATGGCAATGGCAATCGGCGTGGTGAGTCCGTATGCCAGACAAAGAACCCAAGGTAGCCAGCGGCGTTTGCCAAAATGGAGCGCCGACATGCGAGCTCCGATCCCCAGTCCCTCAAAGGACTGGTGGAAGACCAGAACGGGGTAGAGCGTTGCGAATTCGTCGCCTGCCACACCGAGGTTGAGACCGATTATGACGGAGTGGAAGATGATGCCGAATTCGAGGACCAGGAAGGCGGCGATGTCCTGGCGGAAAGCCCGTTCGGAGGAGACGGAGATTTCGTCTGCGTGGGGGTAGAGATCCTTGCTTCCTGTTGGGGATGATGGTTCCGTTGCCGTAAGTCCGTCGATGATTCGTGCGGACTGGAGCATGCTGGCTGGGTGATGAACGCTGCGGTGGCGCACGCTTCTCGCTGCACATTGTACTTCCACTCCACGTACATCTCAGCCCCGACATCCATAAGAAAGATCAGTATGACGGATGAGAGAACAATCGCCGCGCACCAGGAGTACTCGCCCCAGGCGCCGGACATGCCGATACATGTTCCTGGTCCGATACTCTGGTAGGCGGGGTCCAGCAGGTGGATGAACGCAGTCGCCACGATAACCCCTGTCCCAAAGTATCGCCCAAACAGGTACACATGATGAGGAATACGCCATTGGGGGAGACGCTGAGCAGCCACCGGGAAGAGGGTAAATGCGGTCGATGTGATAAAGATGACAAAGACGGACGATATGCGCACGCCTAAGTGGCCGTTGTACTCATTTTCCGACAACGAGAGGTAACAGATGACATCCTCTTTGCTGGCGGAGTTGAGGTCAACGTTGGAGGGGTCGAAGGTAGACATTGTTGAATAATCCAGCATCGATGTGCTAGACATTTTTTCCTTTATATGGCACGCTGGGTACCTTGGGATCGCACTGATTCAGTACACTGCCAAGGTCCTTCGCCTGGCCGGTGCGACGCGGTGGATGGTCCATCTCTAAGTAGGCACAACCTTGTGAGCTACCTCTAACTCCTGGCGGACAAGACCAGAGAGAAAAAGGTGTCATCGCTAGCCTTAGCTTGTCGTCATGTTTGGGAGGCCGGAGACAGTCGTAGGGCTGAGGTCGTCCGAGTGAGGACCTTGTTAGAATCCATTACAAATAATGGAAACAAGATAGCTGCTAAGGAGTAATCGATCGACAAGCACGTTGACATTTCAACCTGCTTGAGCTCATATCTTTTTAGTTGGTCGTCATTTATGCACTCTATGCACGTCTAGCTCCTTAAATAGGGTTCAGTAAAACCGGGCGCCATCAGTCAATATCCAAGACGGAACTGTCGATCGCAACGTCCGGAATATAAGTCAAGGCATTGATGTTCCGAATGCCCAATACATCCGGTGCTCAATGAATCCCATGCGAATCAATCCGGAATACCTCACTCCGACCGCTGCTCAACTACAATTCTGCCGGATTGGGCAATGGACCCTGTACATTTCTCTGGATGGAACCAACAATGTCTGGATTGACCATGTCAAGGTTTCCCTAGCTGGTCATCAGATGTTTGCGTCACGTTATGAACCGAATGACCATGTTACCATCTCAAACAGTGAATGATGGCCGCACCAGCTGGTCTGCTGCGTGAGATGGACATCACTACTGGGCCATGTAAGTCTGAACTGAATAAACTGAACCAATGCTAATTCCTGATAGCTTTGGCTATGGAAAGGATGACCAGGTGACGTTCACTGGAGACTACATTCACCACACCTCTGACCGCTCGCCTAGGCTGCAGTTCAACAGCTACTGGCACGTGTATAAATAACTCCTGACACAACAACACCGGCCACGCATTTGACGTCAGCGAAGGCACAAACGTTCTCATCGAGGGCAACGTCTTGGATGGTGTTAACGCTCCGTTGGAGGGCAGCAGCGCCGGCACCACCTTCGCTGTTGACTCAGCGACCAGTCCAACTGTAACTCTGTCATGGGTCGGGCCTGTGTGGCCAACTCGTTTCTCAATTCGGGCGAGCTGTCTGCGGCTGACGAGCCGATTCGCCTTTGCTGGCCGGAAGGCGAAAGTGATATCATGGTTATGGACGCAAGGAAGGTTGCCTCGTATGTTGTGGCTCCTGCTGGCGTTGGCAAGCTCGATGTGTCGCCAGCATCTCCAACTTTGAGTGCAACTCCATCTGCAAGTTCGAGTGCTGTTCCATCCTCCTCGGTTTGGGTCAAGAGAGATGGCATTCGGGATGCTGCTCCCGGCGCTGCCGCCGAGTCTCCACAGCGTACACCGTCCTGGAAAACAGTAGTCAGCGCGACTGCAGTGCCAACTGGTGTACCTTCCAGAGTTCCTGCGCAGCAAAAGCACGGCATTCTTCCGCCTTTCTTTTCCAGGATTAGTGTGTAGGTACGCCCGTTCGCTATGTGTATGGTCTGTGGCATATCAAGCGAAAAGATTTGAATTCGAAAATATGGTGTTGAGCGTCATGTGGACTTGTTCCCGTCTCCTGTTGGCATCTGTATGAGTAATTGTTAAGCAATACAGTGTGATCAAACGATAATCGCAGTCTGGTCTCCGGAGTGGTCAATCTGACATATCCAACCTTGTAGTGAAGTGAGCATCATGAGCTACTGCAGTACTTTCAGAGTGCAGTAACTCCCGCATGGTTCAATGATGATGGACAAGTGTTGACCCTGACTTTCCCTGTTTAGTCCCTCGCATCATGCGTAATATTTGCATCTCCCATCGGCATTCAAGAGACACGAGCAGGTTTTATTCATTACACGATGCTAGAAGCTTCTGGCCTGCGTTAATTGTCCATATGGCAAGAACAGTTTGAGACTCATCAGAAGTCATCGAAACCCTGTGCTTTGGAAACCCTGCCGGACCGCACGGGACGGCGCCATTAGACCCTGCAATAAGTCCGTAACCAACTTCAAGTCAGGTTTATAACTATATTGGTAATGAGAATCCGGGGTATGATCCACTCCGTTTGAGAAAGAGCAAGGATATGTCGTTGAAGGCACAGGAATCAGCAATATGATATACCTGGCGTTTCCTTCAAGCCACAGACGGTTCTTCACGCTCTGCATACCTCTCCTTCATTCCAGAGGGGCCGAGTGAGTGTGATATATCGAACTGGTCGATTGCCGGCGATCGCCTCCCGCAGACGCAGGTGGACGGCAAGTCGGCAACTTCGGCAAGTGAAGAACTCGCCAAAAGTACGACTTGGAGGTGCTTGACTTGACATTATTGGAAAGTCGGTCGTCGATGAAAACAAGGTGGTCATCGTACGACATCCATCATCCATGGATATTAGTCTGACAGCCGGCGGCTAGAGTCGCGGGGATATGTCACTATGAATAGAAATACGTCCCCCAATATCCAATCACAGAGACGATCGAGATAAATGCTGACAAATACGGCTTTGATATCTTTCAATCCTTCAGGACGATGTAACCCAAACCGAAACTGCCCGTGGTCGATCGCTGCATGTTGCCTGATATTGACAACGCCATTATCCTAGCTGGTTCGTGTTATATGGCTGAGGATTGAGAATAACAATGCAGGCTGCCGGTCATCACGACCACAAATCGACCATCTTCATATTAATTGCCCCTTTCCTTTCCTTCCAATGTCTAGTGGATCGTATGATTGCTATTTGCTAACCTTATCCGTGGCTTGCCTTTAGATTAAGATTCCCGCACGTCACCTGTGGACTACCATCATTACACAAAATACCTATTAATGTAATCCACACAACCAGTCATCTGTGAGACTTGACCTGCAGCTGCATGGAAATGGCTATGAAGCAGGGGTTGCCTCAGGCATGTGAATCGTGAATCCTTGTGAACCTCCACCCTGTTTCCCCCACTGGTCGACTCGTCCGCGGAATACCTCCGTTAGGTTATTATCCACCAAGGTTCGAATCGATTTGAATTTGAGAGATATAAGGGTACAATACGAGAGTGGGCTGCACAATAAGCCAGAGAAAGCGCCCGACCGGCGGCGGGATTGGGGCCCCGACATTAGTGACCCTTGGGAGCCTCCACTGCGATCCACAACAATAATAGTGTTAGTGTTAGTGTTGATCTGGTAGTGCACTCGCACCGACCCTCGACAGTCCCTGTGCTCCTGAAGGCTGAGCATGGAGATCTCGAGTCAGTCAAGCTCTGTTAACTCCGTCATCTAGCCATGAGCGATTCTCAAAGCGACCAGCAGAAGGGTCTGCCCGCTTCAACGGCGACGCCGACAGCCAAGGCGGGCGCACGAAAAAAGAGCCGACCCACCTATTCTTGCCTCAACTGTCACAAACGAAAAGTCAAGGTATCATAGTCGCAGAGTATTTGGTGATTGTCCTAGCTGACTGTCTTCAGTGTGACAGAGTGAAGCCATGCGGTGCCTGTTGTCTTCGAGGCACTCCGTCAGAGTGCGAATATGGCACCAGCAAGCGAGATCGCCACTATATCCAGCAGTCGGTTCTGATCGACAATCTGGTGCAGACATGCGAGGACCTGAAGAAGCAGCTGGCTGAGGCGCGAGCGCTGGCCAATCTTCCCCCGGTCAAGCACGAGGACCCCTTCTCGGTCTCGTCGCCAAATGACCTCGCGGTGCCTAATGAGGAGGAAGAGGCGCAAAACCCGGAGTCTCGAGATTCCTCGTTGATGAAAAAGTCGTCCGACCCATCAGACATAGTATCATCTGAAAGCACCAATATACCATGGAAACCAGCTCCGTCGTCTCGATCGCTCAGTGAAGACAAACGACTCCTGACGGACCCAGCGGTCGCCAGTTCGTTCGTGGAAGTCTTCGTCGAGCGTCTCATTGACAATTTCAGCCCGCAGCCAGCCTCCCTCTATGGCGGCACCATTGCTCTGCGCGAGGCATCTCGCATGCGAGTTCTCTCGCCTATGCTGTGTACCGCATTCGAGGCTGCCTCTCTGACATTTGCCGGTAAACGGGAGCAGATCCGCGAGGTGGAAGCCGTAGGACATGCGCGCTACGTTCGCGTCCTCCGGCAACTGCAGAACGCGCTGAACGATTCAAAGCAGAACAAGTCGACGGAAGTAATGGTCGTTGTATTATTGTTCACCATAATCGAGGTACGTGCGTCTGCCCTGTCGCATCAATTCCACTAACAGTCGCAGGCCTTCAAGCAAAGCTCCAAAGATTCCTTGCTGAAGCACCAACTCGGCGGACTGCAATTGCTGCAAGCACGGACACCATACCGACATCGCTACGGAATCGATCGATCGCTGTACGTCGATCTCCGCTTATACTGGGTAGGTATCCTCTCTCATTTGCCAGTGCGTGCTAACTGGCCAGGTTACCGCTGCGCTCGTCCAGCGCAAACCCACCTTCCTCGCGAGCAAGGAGTGGCTTACGGTCCCATGGCCGGGAGACGCTCCATCCAAGGACATCCTCCACCGACTGCTAGACATCGCGGTAGACATCCCCGCGTACCTCGGGCAGATCGACGACTTCGCCGCGGCGCTCCGGTCCGGCACCGTGCCCTCGACCGAGCTTGTCGCCCAGCAGACCGCTATCTGGGACCGCGCGACAGAACTACAGTCACGGTTGAACCTGTGGAAGAGCATGTTCGCCGATACCTATCCCCCGGGGCGAGCATGGGAGGAGCCCGCGCCTGATCCAGCGACCAAATCTGAAACAGGGACGACCTTCCCGACATTCATGTGCCGGGACCCGGCGACGATGGACCTCGTACCGGCCAAGTTACTGGTCTACCCGGACCTTCTCTCCGCAACCTGCATGACCTACTACTGGGCACTACATCTCATCGTCTCGACGACAGACAGCGGGCTGGTGAGCGTGCTGGGTTTACAGGAGCGGTATCAGTATGCGTGCAACATCTGCCGCAGCATGAAGTACTACGTGGAGACTATCCCCGGGTGCCTGGTATCGCGGAGCATGTTTGTGCTGCGGACGGCGTTTGACGCGTTTGCGGACGGGATGGTCGAGAAGGAGTTTGTGACTGAGGTGTTTCGGCATATTGCGGATAAGTTTCATTTTTCGGTTTTTGCGAATCATTGTGCGTCGTCTTCGGTTGGGGGTTAGCTGTCTTATCATACAAGCTTGTCAATTGTCATATACTGGTAGCATTGGATATCATATCATTATTCGTCATTTCCTATTTACATATATGTATGTACCGTCGGTTATTATATACAAGCACATTTTCGTATTGCTCTCGCGACGCCACTGCATTTGAGCATTTGAGCACTCTCCAATGCGTGGTTTATCACATCATCGACACTCGATCTCTCAAGACAGAAGCATCTGAGCGAGCGGAGAGAGGCCGTCGCGGTGCCGGTCATCGGTCATCGGTCGGAAACAAATTCCATCGGACCTGGCCGAGGTCGGCGGAGTGAGTGGCATTTTGCCCCTTGCTCTCCCTCAAGGGGTAGAGATCTCCAAAGTAGGAGTAGTAGTAAAACCAGACTGCAGCTGTGAGACTAGACTCACACCGGCGCCGGCGCAGGCATCTGGATAAACGCCTCCTTGCTGAATTCCATCGAGAGGTCGCCATCTGCATAGCCATAGCCGTAGTGATCTTGCTGGCCGTATCCATAGCCATGTCCATATCCGGATTCCAACGCAGATGCAGAAGCAGGCACAGAAGGTGAATCAATGGTAAACCCACCCGTCGGATCAACAGGCAGCCAATTCGCCGTGAAGCGGGTACTGCCGTCGGGCATTTCGAGGGGGGTCAGTGCATCTTCCTCGTCTTCGGCGCTGGTGCGCTGATTTACCCGGGGGTGAGACAGAAGATGATGATGAGGAGGATGGACGTTGCGGGGCGGGCGGGGGCAAGAGTCGAGCCTATCGGGCAATTTGTAGAAATGCATGCCCGGGCCCATGCCGAGTGAGGGATCGAGCTCGCGGTCGCAGTCCCAGTCGCAGTCTTCGTCTTCCTTGCTGGTGGAACTTGTTGTGCTGGGGGTGCAGGGGTCTAGCGATGGAGATGAAGAGTTCCGGTTCGAGGATGAAAATGACGAGGAAGAAGGGGATGTGATGCCGGATGGAGTCATAAACAACGCTCGTTGTGTTGCGTCGAGGGATGTGGAGCGGAGGAGGGATAGCTCGTCGGGGGTCTTTTTCCCGTGGCCGAGGGTGAGATCGGGGAAGGGAGGTCTATTCAGTCAGTTAGTTCAGTTCAGTCTGCCTGGAGAAAAGGAGACTCACACTGAAATGAATTCCATGCCCTGAGCAAACATCTTCATCTCCATGTCCATCTCCATGTCCATTCCCATTCCCACTCCCATCTCAACTGGCGGTGAATGTGGTTGCGCGTGCATAAACCCTGTCGCTGCTGCGGTTGCTGCCTTTGCCGAAGTTTGCCCGTAAGGCAGCCAATTATCCGAGCTCAGCAACGCAAAGTCGCTCTCGCCGCAACCATGAGCAGACAACTCAAAGGCAAGGCTCATGGCTTCCTCGCTCTGCAGTTCCTGTTGCAGAGGCGATGCTTGTCCGACGGCATCGAGGAATTGCCAACTTGTGTAGTCGTAGGGGAGTGAATCGGTCATGTTGTCTGATCTGTTTATAGTTCGTATGTCGACTGTCGTAGTACCGTCACAGCATCCTCAGCAGTAACAGTGCAGTAGTAGAAGTAACTGTTATCCTTTAGTGGTGTAGTATAGTCCAAACTTATTAACATAACATGCAGCAACAGACACATCACTACTAGAAGAAGGGACGGGGACCACGCCCTTAATAAACCCTGAACCGAACCCATCACCGGCAAAAAGCATCAAAGCCAAGGAGTATACTCCGTAACAGAAACAAAGGATCAATTATGGGGTAGACAGACCACGGAGAAGCTCGCCAAAATCCAACCATCCAGCCAGGCACAAAGCACACTCATCGGCAGGAGCATTACCCAACTCGGCAAAATAAATCGAAGCGAGGTGCACTTAATCGACAGAATCGACACGGAGCTTCCAAGCTCAACAGACCAATAACCATCCCACAATGGAGCGTAGGATCATCACATTGCCATGTGCGTGGAGCAGGATCAATTAACCGAGCTGCCTTTCCCCGGATTTTCGAACGCGGCCAAACGGCTACAAGTTAGAACAGAGACAATCAGAGACACTCATGGGCCGATTGAAAAGTCAAATAAATCCGTCCCCTGGCCCGATCCCGGGTCTCGTGCCTTGTAGCCCTGCCGCACTAGTACCAACTGGTCAGCTTCTCCGCATCGGCTAATTGGGGCCGTCGGCTGATTCTTTTTAACCGAGTCATCAACTGCTCGGTCCGGGGGTGGCCAGTCTAACCGAGTGTCTGGGGTATGTTCATTGTCATATTCAACCGTGACAGGCTCAGAATTTTCCGAGATTGAGGTACTGCATGGTATTTTGCTAGTTAGCCCTTGGAGGCAGGGCGGAGCCATGACTTGCCAGGGGCTGTCATTTTCAAGCGAGAATTTATCCTAGTAGTGATGTGAGAAGGGTGCTACGTCGAGTCGCACGATGGAACTGCGATATATACATTCTATCTCAATTATAGAGTATCCTGCTATGCATTAGGCATGTTTGAAGTACATGATACCGCAAGTACCGACGGCAGTTGCAGTTCGTTCGAAACTAACGAAGAATATCGACCAGCGAACTGACGCGCCAGAACTAGTGGAGCCTGTGGCCCCTGCCCCTGCAGATGTCAGCGGTTCCAAGATGTTAGGGCTAAGGCTGCCACTGCCGATCAATCCTAGTGCATCTAGCCAATGCGAACTGCGACGGCGAACCTCCGGGCAATCCTCCGTATGGCTCCTCCACGACAGTGGAGTCCGGGGAACTCGTGCTAAATTTAGAGTGCCAGCCCGGTACCTTTTCTCGTCCACCGATACAGTGCCAGAACGGCCTTGCGCCGGTGCCTGATCTCGCTGTGATTGACGGGACGTCCCCGCGCCTGTGCAACCGCACTCCGCATGACTTGGCGGAAATTCCGCTGGTATTCTGTGTTCAGGGTGACGACGCAGGATTCCGTCGCGCGGATCATCACCTCGCACGCGTTGAGGATGCCCTCTCCTGCTTCTTTTTGCAGTCGCTCCACAATCAGCAGGAGGAGAAAACTGCCTTGCAAGAGCTGAATGCCAAAGAAATAGGGCATGAAGCTGATGTCTGGGTCATAGCGGAGAATCTGGTTGACCGAGTCGGCCGCATCCAACGCATGCGAGATGGTAGTGGCAAAGGCAGGGGACGAGGTCCAGAAGTCCTTGTCCTCAATGAGCGAGACGGGATCCCACTTGCCGACAAGGAGAATGTGCAATACATGCACCAGATATGATGCGTACGCGATGACGGTCTGAGTATGCCATGAGAACGCTTGAGAAAGAGAAGGTTCAACAGGATGATCGGGGGTGGATGGAGGAAAGGTAGTGGAGAGCGGCGCTTCAGGGACCGCTGTGGTCGCTGCAAAAGTGGTCAGACTCGCCTTGTAGATCTCGAGCTGCCGCAGCACCTCGCTGAGGTGGGCGTCCCAGCCGTCCTTCCCATTTAGTCGGGATCCAAGCATGGGATGATTTCGTGCCTGGTTAAGATCGATCAGTTCGCCCGTGATGGTCATCAGCGGTAGAAAGAAGCCAAAGATCGAATGATCATGGCAGATAAAGTCAGGGAAAACCCGGCGCTTGTTCTTGTCTCCCGAGATGGAGCAATGCGGTCCCTCCGGCTTGGGGCTGTTGCTGTGCACGTTGCCGGCCTGCCACGAGCCCTCGTCCAGCGGTAGCAGCAGGTCTTCACTTTCGGCATCCAGCAATGCCAGCGGGCGATTGTAGCACAGTGCCAGGTGGCGGTCCATAATGTATAGCAACCACCAGGTCCGGCGACGTTCTTCCCGGTGCTCTTCGGTGATAGTGGCGTGGGGATCATGGCTACGGTCACAAACGCAGTTCAAACTGGGTCGCGTGGGATTCGAGTAATCGAAGAATGCGCCGGTATCGACGCCACTCCAGCCAGGCAGGGAGTAGTCAAATGCTGGACTCGAGCCTTCGGTCTGGCCATCTGCGTTGGGTATCACTTCGATTTCTTGGTTGAGTTTCAATTCTCTAGCAAGGGTAAAAGCAGCATGCCACCTGAAATAGTCAGTCTCGACTCCGCCGGGGAAAGGTGACAAACAAACCATCGCATGCTGGCGGCCTTTTGTTCGCTAGAAGAAATTATGGATGCAACATGGATATAGGTAATCACATCATCCAAGGACCCCGCAGGCCCGACTAGACCGCGATCATCGCCACTCGATTCAAACGGATGGTGCACAGTGGTGGGAGGACAGTCCGGAGCAACCCCACTAAATGTCGGATCATTCCCGTTCGAACCCCCTTGCTCCTTAAATGACACGTGGATCAAAGGTCGGAGTAATCGAATGGTCAAAGCGCACAAGAATTGACAAATCTTCTTGCGCTGAGGCGGGGAAATGGAGAGCGCAAACGCCCGATCGTCCAAGGCGGCAACCCAGAGCATGCTTGCCAGCAGAGCGGGGCTACTCGGCCGGGGGTTTTCCCTGCTCAGGAATGAGGCCTTGCGAAGGACATAACAATGGATGTGATGGCACACGGGGTGCATATGCGTAGAAAAGGCGCTCGTAAAGTACAGCTCGAGAAGGTCAAAAACGAGCCTCCGCGGTAGATTCGCCTCGAGAAACGGCATGAGTGGCTGTAATACGGGATACTTCAAGGTTGTAGAGGAAATACTGGGCGCCCGAGCCGCACCGGCAGGCTTGGTGCCCTGAACAGTCGGAGCACTGTACCCGGCCAGGTCCGCGCCGTTCCAGATGTCCAGCACCCGTGGCAGCGGACCGTCCCCCCAGGCCCCTCCCCCCAGCACTTCATATGAATCTGGAGACACATGGGCCGCGGACAGCCACTCCTCCGTCACATTCCCCGTCGGTCCCGGTCTGCGCGCCGGTAAGGACGGATCTGCTTGGGAGCGTCGGTCGTCTATACTGTGCGCGGAAACGGTCATCTCGTTCGTCGCCGGCGAGCGGTGCTGGAAGGTCGTGGTCGGCGAGGCATGGTTCGGCACTGGTGTTGGCGCCGCATCTGCTGGCACCGGCGCTGGCACCGGAGGCTGCACATTAGGAGCCTTGGACAGCTTCTCCATCGATCCGCCGTTTGTGACTGCTGCCGTCTGTTTTGACCGTGCAATCCGCCCTCGTTTCCGTCGTTCGCGCGTAAATTCGCAACGGATCTCACTGCGAAGGCAGCGCGAACAGGGAAATGCCCGGTCGCATCGCACACGGCGCGAATGGCATGAGTCGCAGGCGATCCGATTTCTCCTCCATCGACGTTTTGCGGTGTTGGACGAATCTTCAAGCGTTCCTGCGGTGTTTGTGCTAGTAGGCTGTGCATCCCCCGACTGGGCAGGATCCATTTCAGACCGACATTGAGTAGAATCAGGCGAGCGGGGATAGGGTTTGTCTAAGAAAAAGAAAAAGACGAGGAGTTAGCGGTGGGTCAAAAATGTCCGCGCCAGGAGATTTGCGGAGGTGATACCGAGGCACAAAAAGGCGTGCGGTGAGAGCTTCAAGATCCCTCTTGTCAACAGAAGAGGTTCATGAGGATAGATCCTGGTGATGAGAACGATGCATATCCAGTCCGAGACTCACGAAGCAATAGTTTCGTCGGAGAGAATTGAAGCTGGATTGAAACTGAACAGAAGGGTCGAGGCCGCGTAGGAACTAGGAACTAGGAACTAGGAACTTACTGAGACGCCGACCCGATCGCGGGGGAGACACCGAAGACAGAGAGCAACTCCGCATCGAATCATCGGCTGACCTCTTTTTACCCTAGGATTCTTGGCAATGTGGTCCAAAGTGGAGAAACCGTGTATTCGCAACGGCCAGACCATGGTCAGTTGAAGTTCAAGACAGTTGAGTCTGGAGTCTGGAGTATGGGGAACGGAGACTCAGGACGAGTTTGCAGTTCTTTGCTGTTGGCACGTGGTTGACAAAAAAAGACCCAGCATCCTGTCGTCTAAAGATTCCTTTCTTCTGCAGCTCAACAACATTCGTCCCCCCGGTACTGGAAGAGTGTCTCATCTGCCAGGATCAGAGTGGATCCTAAAGTACTAAGGTGATTTCGGTACCTAGATAGTTGGCACTAATTTTTACTCTCCCATGACTCCATTGGATGTAAGTTTTAACCATGCTTCGTGCCTCTATCCAATGGATGGACATCAAGTGAAACTGGAAAACTTCAATTCAAGAGGGTCCGATCCTCCGCCCTATGTCAGTGCCATTGACATTACTGATACTCACCGAATACTCCTGAAGGATTCTTGTGGACAACCTGTTGTCTGTACACCCGGCCGACCGGTACTGGGGAAACGTGCGACCGGCAATAATACCTTAAAGAGGCCATGATCAGGAATCCATTGAATATTACAGGCGGAAAATCTTCCTCCGCTGCTTAAATCTTCAACTCAGGTACTCGTGGGAAACGACAACGGGATACATCGAGATAGGTACTAATCTATTTCATGATCGTACTAATACGCGAAGAGCTTATTCTAACCCATCGTCGTCGTCCATTCTCACACGCTCGTTTATATCGATGCAATGCCAGGTCCCTACTCCTGGAGGGATCTACCCTGTACTCGATCCGAATCCCCACCCGCCATGATTGGACGCAAAGTCCCCATCAATGAGAGTCTCCATAACGTATCGCTCGCTCCGGCGCCAGTCGATAAGCAGATCCATTCGAGAGAAAAGAGGCATCAATCATACGCGTCCAGTTCTGCATCCATTTATCATGTTCACCTCGCATGCCGGCGTCCACTATGGGGAAGCCTGTTTCCCTCTGGACCACGTGGGGAACTTGGTCTCGTTGTACTCCTATTCAAGGTTGGTAAATTGAGGTTTAAAGCATTTGTTCATGCTGCTCATGTGAGATACATTGCCAAAAATTTGTGAATTGAAGCCTTACCAAATGGATGGCCAATGCACAAGGACATGTCTGCAGAACTCTCGCCAAGCCACCTCACCGATCCACTGAACCAGACCAGGGTCACTATGCTGCAGGCAAGTCTTGTTGGGTCTACGCGCGTGCTCGAATGCCGTCCTCGGGCTGAGCAAGCCAGATGCGGAGTATGGATTGAGGATTGAGGTCGTCTGTCAACACATCATATTCCGTGCCTCCTTATAGTCCCTCACCTTCTCTTCCAGAAACGCCTCCAACCGACGCAGCGCCTCATGTTCGCCTGCTGGATATAATTGACTTAGCTGCTTCTTCTCTTCCTCCGACAGCTGCTTGTTCTCTGGTGCCGCTGGAACCTCGCTGTCAAATAATTCCTTGAAGTATTTCCGCGCATCACCCAGATTACATCCCAGCTCCTCCGATGTTCCAGACAGTCAGGATTCTCGTTCAAATAAGCAAGCCACGTGTGGTACCAGGGGCTATACACTGCATACTGATTACCTTGCTGACTGGTCACCTATCCACGGAGGACGACGCGTGCGTCGTGCGCGGTCTCGAAGTTGATTCCGTTCTTCGCGCGCAGTCTCACCCGCTTCTCGCGTTGCAACTCGTCAACCTCATATTCCAGGTTTCTGTAGAGATGGTTTGCTCCCCATTGCTGACACTGATCCACAATCCGCTGAGGTATGCTTTTGCGAACATTCTGCGCCTCCATGCACAGGGGGATATCGGGTCCCTCCAATGGCGCTTTAATTGATGCAGAGTACGCAGGATCAGGTCCACCCGGGCCGGAGTCAGCAGATGAGCCGTCAAATCCTGCGGGGACGGAATATACAAACCGGTCAGTGGAATATTATGTTCCTTGGCTGTCTGGTATGCCATTCGCAAGGCGCGATTATTGTAGAGTCGGAGATCGGACTTGAACCAGTGCACTACTGCATTGTTGGCCCTCATGGCCCTGCGCTGGTCGACGGTGTCGTTCCAAGGTTCCGTCGTTGTACGCCTGGCAACGTTCGTTGCTCGTTTCCGGCGGATAAAATTCTCGCAACACCATGCCAAAGTGCCATTACTCCTTGTGCCTGCGGTTGTGCGTTTCTGGGGGGCCATTCTTCGCGGGCGACTAGAGACAGTAGTTACTCGTGTTCCTTTAATACTTTCGATCCCTTGTTGGCGCGATCATTGGTCATTCCATCAAGGGTTGATTGGACTGGCCATGATCAATCTGGTCTAATCCAATCGAGGGCTCCGGTCGCACGGTCCTATCTCAGGTCAAGATCCACGGTTCGTATGAAATTGTTTCCGTGGATTCTTTGTAGGTACCAAATCTATGGCCTCCATGTGGAGAGCTTTGGGGTTGCATTCGGTCTTCCTGCACGGTCGGTGGAGCGTCATGACCTCACTGCTACAGGCATTTTCCGCGCCACTTTTGCGTCTTGTCCGCATACTGGTTCTTAGTATGGAAAATAATCTATGAGTGTAGTTTCGTATTGGAGATGTAGAACAGACCTGGTGTATCGCAGGGATAATATTTATCTTGGTCTACACTCCATACATATATCCCTTACTAGATATCCCTGGAAATATATATAACCTACCCGGCCATTACCTATATTGTCCCCATGGACTAGTTTGAGATAATAGCACTGCATATCCTATCCTCCAGTAAGCAAATTATTGCAGATTTCTCATCTCCCAATCTGTC